ATGTGAATTTCGGGTCCCGGTCGGTGATGATCGCCGAAGGGATGCCGTGTAGTCGCACGACCGTTGAGATGAAGAGGCGCGCAGTTTCTTCGGCTGTGATCGTCGTTCGGCATGGTGCGAAGTGCGCCATTTTCGTGAAGCGATCGACGACGACGAGAACAGCGTCGTTGCCGGACGGCCCAGCTGGCATCCCCGTGACGAAATCCATCGTCACCTGTTGCCACGGTCTTTCGGGTGGCTCGAGGGGTTGCAGCAGCCCAGCTGGTCGCTGACGTGTCGATTTCATGGCTTGGCACACCCTGCATGAGGACACATAACGCTGCACATCGTTAGAAGAATCGGGCCAGTAATATTGACGGTGCAGTAATTTCTGGGTTTTATCAACCCCGAAGTGTCCGGAGTAATTCGAATCGTGGACCTCCTGGATGAGGAGTTCACGCAGTAGCCGGTAAGCGGGGACCCAAATCCTGTCGGTGCCGGCTTTTAGGTAATAATCCCCCTTTTGCGTCGTGGCTTGCTGATGATTTCCTGTCGTGAAAAACGGGTCCGTAGTGTAGCCGTGGGTGAATAGTCTTGTAAGTAGCGGGTTCGAATGGGTTATCAGTACAGCAGCGGATTGTACGGTCGGTCTAGTCAGGGCGTCGGCGATGTTATTCGCCCCTTTCTTGTACGTGATGCGGTAGGTGAAGTGGCTCTCCATGTAATCCAGCCACCGAATTTGTCGCGGGTTGAGGTTCGGTTGAGCTCGCAGGTACTGTAGGGACTTGTGGTCCGTGCGCACAGTGACGTTGGCGCCCACCAGGTAGCATCGCCACAGTTTAAACGCGTGGATTATGGCGAGCATCTCCTTGTCGTGGATCGGGTAGTTGCGCTCGGCAGCTTGCAGCTTGCGTGATTCGTAGGCGATCGGCTGCAGCCCGTTCCCGAAATCCTGGAGAAGCACTGCTCCGATGGCGAAATCAGAGGCGTCGGTTACAACTTCGAACGGCTTCGATGGGTCGGCGATGCGCAGTACAGGAGGAGAAACGAGAAAATTCTTGAGCTCCTGGAAAGCCGCCTCTGCCTCCTCCCCCCACACGAAATTCTTGTCCTTGTGCAGCAGGTCGGTCAGCGGGCCGGTTATCCCCGCCATATTCGGGATAAACCGCCTGACGTAATTCACGAACCCCAGAAAACTCTGAAGCTCCGTGACATTAGTCGGGGCCTTCCACTCCTGTATGGTTTTAATCTTCGCCGGGTCAATTTTAATGCCGTCGCGGGAGATGACGTGCCCTAAAAACTCCAACTCCTGCTTAAAAAACTCGCACTTAGAGCCCTTGGTGATGAGGCGGTTCTCCTGCAACCGTTTAAATACTGCGTCCAGGTCGCGGAGATGCTGCTCCCGTGTCTTGCTAAAAATCAGGATATCGTCCAAATAGACGATGACACATCGGTCTAGAAGATCGCGAAAAACCCTGTTCATGGTCAGTTGGAATGTCGAAGGCGCGTTCGTGAGGCCGAAAGGCATCACTGTAAATTCGTAACTCCCGTAGCGTGTACGAAACGCGGTCTTGTGACAGTCGTCGGCGAAGACCCGAATCTGGTGGTAACCGCCACGTAAGTCGATTTTCGAGAAGTAGCGAGCGCCGCGAAGTTGATCGAGAAGGTCGTCGGTGCGTGGGATTGGGTAGCGAGATTTGATGGTCACCCGGTTCAACGCGCGATAATCGATGCACATGCGAAGCCCGCCGTCCTTCTTTGGAGTGAACAGGATCGGTGCCGCGAACGGGGAGGTGCTCGGCCGAATGAAGCCTTTCTCCAACAGTGCAACAATTTGTCGGCGTAGCTCCTCGAGTTCCGGTTGGGTCAACCGCCACTGTGTCCGAACAGTAGGTTGCGCGCCAGGTTCCAGCTGGATTTTGTGGTCTTCGGGTCTCTCGGGTGGCAGTCCAGGTGGCAAATCGTCCGGGAAAATGTCGGGGTACTGTCGAATTAGCTCCGCTAAATCCGGAGGCTGCACACAGCTTCTCGATGTCTTTTCCGTCGGTGTCAACTGCCAACTCGCGCAAGCAGACGGCGAACAGCTGCGCACCCCTGTTGAAGTGGTGGGCGATGGTGATGGCTTTGACGCACGGGGCTTGGATGTAGGCAACTTAATTAGCCCCTCGTGCTTGCTGACGCAGCACGATCCCGTTGTCCAGTCGATGACGGGGTTGTGTCGTCGCAGCCAATCACGTCCCAGCAGCACGTCGCAGCCGTCCAGCGTCGTCGCGAGAAACTTCATGCTGAAGCCGAAATCTTCGCCGCACTCGATCCGCACCGTCCGTGTTTCTTCCGTTATCGCCAGAGGCGTCCCATCCACGAGTCGTGCGTCGATTTCGGGTAGACACCTGTCAAGTTGCATGTTGCATTTTTTTGCGCTCGCCAAGTTGAAGAGGCTATGGCTGGCCCCTCCATCGACGAACATTTTCAGATGATGTTTCCCCACCTTGCCAGCGACCAGCACAGGGTGATCCACATGATTATCCCCGTTATTCGGCCGAGTGCGATCGATTGCATGAATCGGAACCACGACTCGGTGGGGATGGTGGTGTTCGGGCGACGGAGCATAGTCAGTAAAGGGCCCGTTACTTACTGACTCTTCCCATTTCCCTGCTCCTTCCTGTCGTCCCCTGTCAGCGGCATCTTCTCCTTGCATTCGTTCTTCCAGTGACCCACCTTCCCACACCGGAAACACTGACCCTTAGGAGGGCGGTCGGGTGTATGGACGGCGTTGATTGTGGCCCGATGGGTCTGGCCACGAAAACCTCTCCCATCCCTGGAAGCCGTTCTCGCGTATTGCATCAGCGCATCAATAGACTCTGCCACGCGTACTGCTTCGAGAAACGATGTCGGGCGGCTGCGACGAACCTCAAACTGTATCTCGTATTTAAGGCCGCTCACGTATTTATCCAACCGCTCAGCTTCCGACATGTCATCGACCTGGTCGGCGAGGCCCATAAATGACGCCGTGTAGTCTTGGACAGATCCCATCTGCGACCATGCACGCAGCTTCATGCGAGCTTGCTCCGAGGCGGATACGTGCTCGAAGCGATCCCGTAAGGCTGCGCCCCACTCCTTCCATGTGCGTATCTTGGTCACACCGAAGATTGGTTCTGCAACTTGATTAACCACTGTAGAGGTCCCGTCTGCCGCATGTGTCACACCTGTCGGCGTCCCTGTTTCCAAGGTCCGGCGCCACCATTCAAGTGCTGCACCTCGAAGAAGCGAGACTGCGTAATTAATGCGCGTGGCATCGTCATTAACTCCGGCTGCAGTGAAGAAAACCTCAACCCCGAACAGCCACCCTTTTACCGTAACCGCTTTATCCGTAGGATTGAACGGGGGCGGGTTGACGGGCTTGATTTTGATCGTCGTAACTGCAACTGGTGCTGCTGCCGCTCGCTGCCTATCTTCTTCTTCGAAGTCACGTGTGAGCTCGTCCAGAGGATTGCCCATCACTTGGCTGTTGCCCTCGCCTTCGTCCACAGGCGACGTCTGACGCGCTTCACCTCGCGTCCGGCGTAGCTCGGCGTTTTCCTCCTTCAGCGTTGTCACTTCCGCTTGCAGCGATTCCATACCCTTCGCCATTTCTGCCACTTGCGCCATCAGTCGGTTAACAGCCTCCTGATCCATGTGTCTAGCACTACGTCTGGTGGGCAGTTGGGTACCCGTGGCCACCCGGCAAGTGAAAACACGAACTATCGGAGTCGGGCAGGATTGAATTAACAACCTCTGCAGCCAACCGTCGTGTAGTCACTAAACCAACCACACCCTATGCCACCAAACTACCCTCGAAAAGCGGGGTGAACTAGGAAAGTAGCTCTGATACCAGGTGTTATGAGTTGTAAAAGAGAGTACGCAGGTAAACGAATAATGAGACTGTGACTGAATCAATTTTAGAATACAATGAATGCACAGACTAATGTAGGGCTAGCCTAGCTAGGAGGAAACCTCGGGTGAGCGAGGTTGGGTGCAGGTTTGGCGATGGAAATGCCGAAGGCGACGCGAGGAGCTTCGGCAGCGTGGAAATCGCCCGAACGTGCGAACTCCGAAAATCGGGTTGTACGCGCAGTAGTCAACCCCGATAAGGAATTCGAGAAAATTCCTTATACGCGGTCTCTCCCCCGACTACACTCACCATGTTTAGTAACAGCATATGATTTAAGAACAATAACAATCTAACAGCCAGAATAAGTAAGGTTTCTTATCTTTAAAGTTTGCCTGACCAAAATTTGATAAAATCGGGCTAGTAAATTTTGAAACTCCTCTGACTTCAACGTATAAGGTTCTTAACTTTACGTGAATTTATCCAGAGGGTGCCTATATCGAATACGTTTAAAAAGGGTCCCAGCGTTACATATATGCCAAAGGTCGGGAGATCGATCCTTGCCAGGTACTGTATTGCGAAGACAGTAGAGTCGAAAACAAGGCCAAAAACCAATCAAATCGCTCTGTGCGGCATGTTTTTACATCGGCGGCAAGCGAGCTCTATTCCTCTCGATCATCACGCGAATCTAACCACCATTTTAGTAGATAAGAGCGAAAGTTGTCTTCTCAATCAAATAAGTCGATTCCTTCTGCGGACCTATTTCATAAGTGCTCGACTGGGGCTGGGTTCTCCCAGATAAGGATTTAAGGACAACTTTGAGATAGCTCACTTTGTTCTCATCTGTTCCCTCTCTCTCCCACCTATTTTTCGCCTGTAACTGTCTCAATAACATGTCATGAGGGTGTGGTACCTTCACTCGAAATATCATGCCATTCCCTAATTCGGGAATTCTAACCTTCGTTTCGTCGACCTTCCTTTGTTCTTTTGCCCACCCCTCCCCACTCCTCTCCTCTCCTCCCCACCCCAACCTGGCAGGTTCATTCTCCACTGGAAGGTCACAACAGGCACGACAGTCAACATGGCACTGGAGGCCCAGACAGCAGCCATCACGGGCGGGTGGTTCGGCGTGGGTTGGTCAGCAGACGGCAAGATGTACCCCGCAGATGCCGTCATCGTCAACTCCGATACCTACGGCGCGATCGGCCCGTACAAGATGGAGCACGACTCACCGACAGCCATCATCCCCTTTGCGAATTTCCAGTTGGGTTTTGGAGCTACCTACACTAAGCCCGCTGCCATCAAGGGTGCTGCTACCACCAACACCACCAGCGCTGTCCCGTTGCCAGCGGCGTTGCCACGTACGTATCGTCTATCATATCTGCTCTTACCTTTTGCAAATCTCCAGCTGGGTTCCGCAAGCTACTCACACCAAGCCCGCTGCCATGAAGGGTGCTACCATCAACACCACCACGTACCCTGGCGGCGCTACCACCAACACCACCAGCGCTGTCCCGTTCGCCAGCGTCGTTGCCACGTACGTATCGTCTATCATATCTGCTCTTACCCTTTGCAAATCTCCAGCTGGGTTCCGCAAGCTACTCACACCAAGCCCGCTGCCATGAAGGGTGCTACCATCAACACCACCACGTACCCTGGCGGCGCTACCACCAACACCACCAGCGCTGTCCCGTTCGCCAGCGGCGTTGCCACGTACGTATCGTCTATCATATCTGCTCTTACCCTTTGCAAATCTCCAGCTGGGTTCCGCAAGCTACTCACACCAAGCCCGCTGCCATGAAGGGTGCTACCATCAACACCACCACGTACCCTGGCGGCTCTACCACCAACACCACCAGCGCTGTCCCGTTCGCCAGCGTCGTTGCCACGTACGTATCGTCTATCATATCTGCTCTTACCCTTTGCAAATCTCCAGCTGGGTTCCGCAAGCTACTCACACCAAGCCCGCTGCCATGAAGGGTGCTACCATCAACACCACCACGTACCCTGGCGGCGCTACCACCAACACCACCAGCGCTGTCCCGTTCGCCAGCGGCGTTGCCACGTACGTATCGTCTATCATATCTGCTCTTACCCTTTGCAAATCTCCAGCTGGGTTCCGCAAGCTACTCACACCAAGCCCGCTGCCATGAAGGGTGCTACCATCAACACCACCACGTACCCTGGCGGCGCTACCACCAACACCACCAGCGCTGTCCCGTTCGCCAGCGGCATTGCCACGTACGTACCGTCTATATGTCTGCACTTACCCTTTGCGAGTTTCCAGCTGGGTTCCGGAGCTACCTACACCAAGCCCGCTGCCATGTACCACGGCGGCGGTGCCACAAACACCACCAGTGCTGTCACGGACCCTGGCGGCGGTGTCCCGTACGCCGGCAGTGGCGTTGCCACGTAGGTGGAATAACGCGCTTACACGGTAAGCAGAGGGGCCCTCTGTTATGATCTTATTGCATTGCACCGCATCGCACTCACTCGCACTCACTCGCACTTGCACCCTGATACCGGAACGATTTACACTTTCACATACACACCGTCTCAGTCGTCCCACAACCCCACACACCCTCACACCCACACCCCACATTCCAATCCCACACCCAAGCTCCCTCCCTCCCACACGTTTTCCGCACAACGAGTGCGAACAGAAAACGCATCTCGACTTCCCCTCTCCTCCTGCGTTTCCCTTCCCTCTTCCCCCCAACCCACCCTCCCCCCATTCTCCTCCCTCCCCCTCCTCCTCCCTTCCCGTCTACTTCTGAACACCCTTCCAGCTTCTGCCGCACGGTCGGCACGGGGGACAAGAAAAACTTCGTGAATGGACCCGTGAAGACCATCTGGGCCTGATTTTTTCCCATCTTTTCTTCCACCCCGATCCCCCCTCACTCTTTCTCTCCCTCATCTTCCCCCATCCCCCTCTCTCCTCACAGTTTCTCCCGCACGGTGGGCACGGGGGACAAGATCAACTTTGTCAACGGACCCATGAAGACCATCTGGGCCTACTCCGACGGCCCTTCCGGTGACTTCAGTGCCGGCCATGCCGCCCAACGCGGAGTCGTCACAATCGACTACAAGTGTGACCCCAACGCTGTCCCCGCCCCCCCGCCCCCCGCCCCTTCCACTGCCAAACCCCCACCGCCTCCCCCCTCTTCCACCGCCAAGCCCCCGCCGCCTCCTCCTGCTTCCACCAAACCGTCCCCGCCTCCCCCGCCGTCCTCCACGCCCAAGCCCTCCCCGCCTCCGCCCGCGTCGTCGTCTCCCCCGGCTGCGGGCGCGGCGTGTGCGTCGTCGTCGCTTGCAGGGTACTCGTATCAAGTTGAGCTGAACGGACCGCTGTAAGTGATGTTGGTGCCGCTGTCAATGAGTGACTGTGCCTCTGCTGACGCAGTGAGTGATGGTGGTGCTAGTAGTGAACGTTGCAGTGAGTGATCATAACAGTGAGTGATCATAGCAGTGAGTGATCATAGCAGCGAGTTACTAGACCTTTCCCACCAAGAAGGAGGTCACTAGGAGCAGCACTCTTGCCTCAACCCTTCTATCCCCTGTTTCTCGTCTCCATGCCCTCACCTTCCTTTCCCCCTCTCAGCGTGCTCCTCCACTGGACCTTCGCAACCAAGAAGCGCATCAGATTTGCCATCGAGGCTCGCAAGGGCACCCTGACCAAAGACGGCTCAACCCTGTCTCTTTCTTGTCTCTTCCCCCCTCTCAGCGTGCTCCTCCATTGGACCTTCGCAACCAAGAAGCGCATCAGATTTGCCATCGAGGCTCGCAAGGGCACCCTGACCAAAGACGGCTCAACCCTTTCTCTTTCTTCCGTCTCGCCCCCTTCCTGTTTCCTTCCCCCCTCTCAGCGTGCTCCTCCACTGGACCTTTGCCACCAATAATCGCATCAGGTTCACAATACAGACTCGCAACCCCCATAACCCATCCCTCACCCTATTACCCATCCCTTCCTGCACCCCTGTTCCCCCTCTCAGCGTGCTCCTCCACTGGACCTTCGCAACCAAGAAGCGCATCCGATTCGTCATCGAGGCTCGCAAGAGCACCCTGACCAAAGATGGCTGGATGGCCGTTGGATGGTCGGGCAACAAGGGCAAGATGAAGGGCTCAGATGCGGTCATTGGGAACCTGCCTGGCGTGGTGGCAGTGCATATGAGTGGGTACAGTAAAGCGCTTGTAACGAGGACGAACGCGTTCGCTATCGGGACTCCATCGGTTGCTACTACATCTGAAGGCGGCACTACAATCATGTAAGGATGACCAGTGAGCTACCTTACTAGATAACTTTTGAGTCGACTCAAAAGTGGACTCCTTCGGTTGCTGCTACGTCTGAAGGCGGCACAACAATCATGTAAGGGCGATGGGAGGGCTACCTTACTTCCCCATGTGTTACCCTATGCATTTCACTTTTTCCCCATGTTTTACCCTATGCATTTCACTTTTTCCCCATGTTTTACCCTATGCATTTCACTTTTTCCCCATGTTTTACCCTATGCATTTCACTTTTCCCCATGTTTTACCCTATGCATTTCACTTTTTCCCCATGTTTTACCCTATGCATTTCACCTTTTCCCCATGTTTTACCCTATGCATTTCACATTTTCCCCATGTTGTACCCTATGCATTTCACTTTTTCCCCATGTTTTACCATATGCATTTCACTTTTTCCCCATGTTTTACCCTATGCATTTCACTTTTCCCCATGTTTTACCCTATGCATTTCACTTTTTCCCCATGTTTTACCCTATGCATCTCACCTTTTCCACATGTGGTACTCGATTTTCCCATGTGTGTGACCCTACTGTGTCGTCTGTTCTTTCTGAACTACTGCGCTAGTGTTCTGCGCTGTGTGTGATTTGTGAGAACGCTCACGAATCGCACACACGTGCTACATTATTCTATGTTGCTGTTGCTGTCACCAGCAACAAGCATGCGCTTGCTTCGTCTTGTCCAATTTCATGGGTCCACTGGTCATGAAAATAGAAGGCAGTAGAGGGTCGCTCTGACAAATTCCTTCTCCATATTTCTCAGTCCCTTCTTCTTGTCCTTCCCCACTCTCCCCCACACTTCCTCAAAATTCCTCGCACCCTCTCAGATTCCCCAAAAGAGTGGGCACAGGGGCAGTACCAATCAAGCTCAATGCCACCAACTACCTCATCTATGCCTTCAGCAGCACCATGTGAAACCACTCACAAGCCACCACCACCACTCTTCCCTCTGCACTCTCCCCTCTCTTCCTCTTCCTCTCAGTTTCGCCAGGAAGGTGGGTACGGGGGCGGTACCAATCAAGCTCAACGCCACCAACTACCTCATCTGGGCCCTCAGCAGCACCGCCACCAAGACCCTCTCCTTTCACGGCAACCACCAGTAAGTAGGAATAGGCTAGGCAACTTTGTTACATTGTAACTAGGAACTTTACCCTGCGACCAGGAAGCAGGTTCTTTTCTTGTTACCACTAGATGCCTGTTTACCCTGTAACAAAAAATCCACCTTATTGCCATCATACCACTTCGAACATACTGCTCTACATCATGTCTCCTCCCAACCTTCCACAATGCTGCAGGGTGAGTCTGAGAATGTTCAAGAACGCCCATACCACTTACAACATTCTGCTCTATCTACGTGCCTCTAACCAACTCTCCTTCCAACCTTCCAATGCCTGTACCCTCCTACCAGGGGCGGCCTTGCTGTTGAATTCTCATGCTACAAGAAGCCCTGTTACCTCTGGGGCGGTGGGCCTGACTACAATGATGACTCGGATTATGACAACCCGCCTCCCTCCGGTGGTGTGGTGGTGGCGGGAATGGTGGTGATGGTGGTAGCGATGCATGTTATCAAACCAATCCCCCTCTTCTCCTGTACCTCTCCCACTCTCTCCTACCAGGGGCGGCCTTGCAGTTGACTTCTCATGCTACAAGAAGCCCCGGTACCTCTGGGGTGGCGGGCCTGACTACAATGATGACTCGGATTATGACAACCCGCCTCCCTCCGGAGGTGGTGGTGGTGATGATGACGATGATGACGACGATGGTAACCATCATGATAATCATCATAGCCATGATGGTCACGGAGACCACCATGATAACCATCATGACCATCATGATCACCATGATGACGGCGACCATCACGACCACAAGTCGAAGCATAGCGAGTCGTTGGCCAGAAAGCCATTTGGTAGCAAATCAACCTCCCGCAACAGCGTCCCTATCACACATGGTTATTCCAACCCGATGGCTGGTGCTTCTTCCAGCAGCAATCATGCCATGAACCATCTGTTTAAGCAGAAGCCATTGGGCCACCAACAACGTGTCGCTGGTCCGGTTGCTGGTAGTGCTACTAGTGCTAGTGGTGCTGCTGGTGCTAGCGCTTCTGGTGCTGGCACTGCCGGCGTTGCTGCTACCGGTGCTGGTGGTGCCACTGGTGGTACTGCCGGTGCTATTGGTGGTGCTGGTGTTAGTGATATTAATGGTGCTAGTGCTTCTGGTGCCGGTAGTGCTGGTATTGGTGCTGGCAGTGCGGGAGCTGCTGCTGGTGGCACAACTGGTGCTATTGATGGTGTAGGTGCTACTGAAGCTGGTGGTGGTGGTGGTGGCCCTTACGGTGCTGAAGCTGCTGTTGGTGGTGGTGGTATTGCTGGTACCAATGATGCTGCTGGTGTTGGCGTTGCTGGTGTTGGCCCTGCTGTTGCTGGTGGCTCTGCTGCTTTGGGTGCTGCTGCTGCGGGTGCCATTGCTTTCGATGCTGGTGCTGGTGCCACTATAGCACAGGGTTTAACAAATGCTGGCTTCTAGGCAGGAGGTAACTCTGCCGTTCGGAATGATTTTTTTGGAGGTGAAATGACATTGTATGTGCAATTGCTAGCCACGTGATGCTAATTAAAACTCAATTCCAAAAGTTGCCATTATCATAAAAGAAATTCGTTGTACACTAAAAAATGTCTTCTTTCACAACCAAAATCTCGAATACTTCCTCCACATATCTTTTTGCCATAGATGATCATTCTAGGTGGTTATTCATGTTTTTTTAGACAGTCAGTTCCAACAATTGCGGTAATTGTAATTTATATTGTAACCTGTGGTGGTCCTCAGTGCCAGTAAAGCGTACATCAATGTTGACGAACTCGATGGCGCTTCCATTTTTCCGAATCGCGTGTTGACCAGGGTTCTCGTGACATTTCTCTCCAGCTGGCAAAATGGGAGTACATTTCTCGTATTGTATTCCAGTCTGAAAAAAATGAGCTCGTGACATTTCCCTCCAGTACGGGAGGATGTTGGCTGTAGGACGGGTAGTGGTGGCGAGTGGGGAGGGGGGTAGGGGTCGGGTTTGGAGGGAAGGGGAGTGGGAAGAATGGGGGGTGTGGATGGAGGGGCTTGGTCGGGAAGTGGAAACACGGTTAGTGGCTCAAAAGTAACATTGAACTTTTGGCGCCGAACTGACCCCAAAAATTATAGGGCAATGAAACTCCAACCCGTGATGCATCGCTGACCAGAGGGCTCTGGTCCAACCTCTGGTCAAACACGAAATAGGTTTGACTAGTTCCCAGAATACACAAAAATCGACACCAGACCAGAAATTGATGAAATTTGTGAAGTCAACATAGTTACAGTGAGTGGAGAGTCTCAAGCCCAAAATGCCGGGTAAAGGCCGGGTAGAATTGTGTTACACAATCTCAATCCGCTGCGTCTGCACAGCGTCCAGAGGAAGAGCAGCACCCCAGCACCACTTCAATCTGGCTCAAGTGTCGTTAGGGGCAGGAGGAGCAGCAATTTCAGCAGTTCACTTCAATCCGCTGAGCTGTGCGGACTGCGCTAGAGCTGTGTTCGGCTTGCTCTTCCGTCTTCCCCTGGCGCTTCCACATCCATGGCTCGTCAGCTCCTTGCTCTTCAGCTTGTACTGCTCGTTACAGTCACACACTACGCCGCCATTACCGCCGCCACCGCCGCCGTCGCCGCGCCCGCACCTTCTCCGCCGCCGTCACCTGCTCCGCCGCGCCCACCTGCTCCTCCGCCGCCACCGCACTCCATATGGAGTAATATTGCCTCGTTCTTTCGCCTTCCTAGTAGCTCCTTCGGAAATTTCTTCTTCAGTGGCGCGCAAAGCGTAATTGCGGGGCGCGGGAACTCGCGGCGCGGGGTAGCTGCGGGAACGTGCAGCGCGTCGAGCCGAAGCGGCTTCACGTCATCTAAAACGCTCGCGCCCGGGTAAATTAATAAAATAATTCTAATGAGTCAAACGGAAATTGCTGGGGGATTTTACTGGTGCTCTCAGGGGTGCAAAAAGCTCGTATACACCAACACAAACTTCTGGCTATCCCCGTTAATAGTACACTCTGTGTGAAGTACAGGACTCGCAACAGAACCCATGCTCAATGTGAAGTATAACAGTATACAACATGTTTTATTAATTAAAAAATGTATTAATAACTTTTTTCATTGATGAAGTTTCGAAGCATGATGTCTTTGAGAACTTCATCTTCCTACATTATTTTTTTTTAGCAAGAAGTATGCTTTTTTAAGTTCTTTTGGAATAGGAACCTCTGGACCGTTGCTGCTCACAGATGCAAATTTAACTTGTGCAAATGCTCATTTCCGCTTTTTCCCTGACACAGCAGGCTGATTCTTCACTGCAAGGCCACAAAAAAGGCACGGAAACTCACATCCTCGCTGAGCCACCATTCCTTTACTCCTCTCCTGCCCTCCTTTCCGGCCCCCCTCCCCCCACCCTCTCCGTACGGCAGGCTGATTCTTCACTGGAAGGCCGTAAAAAGCACCGCAGCAGGCACCGTTGTGAACATGGCCCTGGAAGCCACGACAACCGCTGTCTCCGGCGGGTGGTTTGGCATCGGCTGGCCGATGACAACCGGCATGTACCCCGGAGATGCTGTGATTGCTAACAGCGCACTCTACGAGCCTATTGACGCCTACACTTTGGCGGGCGACACGCCGACCGCCATCATCCCGTTTGCTTCCGTCCCGCTGGGTTCGGCTAGCTACACTGGCGGCGTTGCCACGTACGTTTGTGTTTCCAGGCTGCTGTCACTCTGTTTTTAACAACTCAACACGTACGATTTTTATTTCTCTCTCTCTCTCTCTTCTTCCACTTCCTCCTTCGTCTTCCTCCTTCCTCTTCCTCTTCCTCCTTCCTCCTCCTCTTCCTCTTTCCTCATCCTCTTCCTCTTCCTTTTCCTCAACCTCCTTCCTCTGCCTCTTCCTCTTCCTCTTTCTCTTCCTCTTCCTCTTTCTCTTCCTCTTCCTCTTTCTCTTCCTCATCCTCATCCTCTTCCTCTTCCTCTTCCTCCTTCCTCCTTCCTCCTTCCTCCTTCCTCCTTCCTCCTTCCTCCTTCCTCCTTCCTCCTTCCTCCTTCCTATTCCTCTTCCTTTCCCTCTTCCTCTTCCTCTTCTTCTTCCTCTTTCTCTTCTTCTTCCTCTCTCTCTTTTGCTTCCTCCTCCTCTTCCTCTTCCTCTTCCTCTTCCTCTTCCTCTTCCTCCATCCTCCTTCCTCCTTCCTCTTTCCTCCTTCCTCCTTCCTCCTTTCTCCTTCCTCCTTCCTCCTTCCTCCTTCCTCCTCCCTCTTCCTCTTCCTTTTCCTCTTCCTCTTCCTCTTCTTCTTCCTCTTCCTCTTTCTCTTCCTCTTCCTCTTCCTCTGCCTCTCTCCTCTACCTCTCCCTCACCCTCTCCCATCTCCTTATTCCTCTCCCTCACGCTCCCCCATCTTCCTCTTCCTCTCGCTCACGCTCCCCCCTCTTCCTCTTCCTCTCCCTCACGCTCTCCCCTCTACTTCTTCCTCACTCTCTCCCCTCTTATTCTTCCTCACTTTCTCCCCTCCTATTTTTCCTCAAGCTCTCCCCTATTCTTCTTCCTCGCGCTCTCCCCTTCCCCCTCCTCCCCCACCCCCCACAACCCCCCTACAGATTCTCCCGCGAGGTGGGCACGGGCAACAAAATCAAGCTCGTGAACGGACCCATGAAGACCATCTGGTCCTACCCTGATGTACCCTCCACTTCCTCCGTCTCACCACCACCCCCCATCCCCCCATGCAGATTCTCCCGCACAGTGGGCACGGGAAACAAAATCAAGTTCGTGAACGGACCCATGAAGACCATCTGGGCCTACTCGGTCGGCCCTTCAGGTCTATTCGACAACGGCCATGCGGGCAACCGCGGCACCCTCACAATCGACTACTCCTGCGACCCAACCGCTGTCTCCAACCCCCCTCCGCCACCCCCGGCCTCCGCCAAATCGCCACCCCCTTCCAGCGCCAAACCCCCACCCCCTTCAAGCACCAAGCCCTCCCCGCCCCCACCTCGGGCCAGGCCTCCCCGCCTCCCCCACCATCTGGCACACCCAAGCCGTCCCCTCCTCCCCCCTCGTCTTTGCCCCCTGGAGGTGCTGCGTGCGCATCGTCGACACTTGCGGGGTATTCGTATCAAGTGGAGCTAAGCGGACCGCTGTAAGTGATGGTGTGATAGTATTAAGTGGGGCTGAATGGACCGCTGTGAGTGATTGTGTTTCTGTGAGTGATAAAGGTGGTGAGGAAAGCTGGTGTGATAGTATAAAGTGGGGCTGAATGGACCGCTGCGAGAGATGATATTGCCTCTGCTGACGCCATGCTGGTGATAGTAGTGAATGTACTGGTGAGTGATATTGTTAACTGATGTGATTGTAATGAATGGTGGTGTGGTGGGCTGTGATCGCTTTGGCTTCCCTGTTGCGCACTCTTGCATCAATCCGTCTCTATCCTGTTTCTCATCCCCATACCCTCACCTTCCTTCCCTCTCAGCGTGCTCCTCCACTGGACCATTGCCACAACGAAGCGCATCAGATTGGCCTTTGAGGCGCGCAGCACCAGCAGCGCAATTGCCTGAAATGTGCTCATTTCCCGTGCCCTCAACTTCCTTCCCTCTCAGCGTGCTCCTTCACTGGACCTTCGCCACCAAGAAGGAGGTCACAAGCAGCAGCTCTCTTGCCTCAACCCTTCTGTCTCCTGTTTCTCTTTTCCATGCCCTCACATTCCCCCCTCTCAGCATGCTCCTCCACTGGACCTTTGCCACCAAGAAGCGCATCAGATTCGCCATCGAGGCTCGCAAGGGCACTCTAACCAAAGACGGCTGGATGGCCGTTGGATGGTCGGGCAGAAAGGGCAAGATGAAGGGCTCAGATGCGGTCATTGGGAACCTGCCTGGCGTGACTGCGGTGCACATGAGTGGGTACAGCAAGACGCTTGTAAAGAAAACGAATTCATTTGCTATCGGGACTCCCACAGTCACTTCTACATCTGAAGGCGGCACAACAATCATGTAAGGCTGATGGAATAGTTGCCCTAATTCCCCACATGTTACTCTATTTGGCGCTGTATTACCCTACTTTCCCATGCAGTGCCCTACACTCCCTCACACTCCCTCACACTCTCTTACACTTGCTCAAACTCCCTCACACCCTCTTACACTTGCTCAAACTCCCTCACACCCTATCAGTTTTGCAAGGAGTGTGGGTACGGGGGCGGTACCAATCAAGCTCAACGCCACCAACTACCTCATCTGGGCCATCAGCAGCACATCCACCAAAACCCTTGCCTTTCACGGCAACCACCAGTAAACTCTCTAGTTACCCTTCCACTAATTACCTTGCAGCTAGGAAATTTGCCCTGTGACAAATTTGCAGCTTGTTTACCTTGTTACCACTAGGCGCCTTGTTATCCTGTAACCAAAGTGCCACCTTTTGCCCTCATACCACTTAAAACATTCTTCTCTACCTACCCTCACACCTGCCACATGTTTGCTCCCACCCTCACACCCTCTCATGCACTCTCATCCAACTTTACACTCTCATGCCTTACACGGGTAGCCCTGCTGTGGAACTTCGTGGCTTTCACCATCACCTTCCTCCCTCTGACCCATAAACCACTGAGCCGACTTTTGAGCTCACTCAACAGTCATCTTGACATAGGATGCTTTTCTGTGCAACTCTGTGGCTCGGGGTGACTATTGAGTCGACTCAAAAATGGCTGTGAACAAGGCCTTCCTCCCTCTGACCAATGAAACACTGAGCCATGGCTCTACCAGAGCACATCCCCATTCCACCCCCACTCCTCCCAAACCTTACACTGCCCCTGTCCTCCAATCAGGGGCGGCCTTGCTGCGGACTTCTCGTGCTTCAGGGGGACATGGTGCATCCGGGGTGGTGAGACCGACTACAAGGATAACGATGCATGCAACCAAGCCAGACATCCCTTATCCCTCTCTCTCTTCCCCTCTCAGGGGCGGCCTTGCGGTGGACTTCTCATGCTACAAGAAGCCACGGTACCTCTGGGGTGGCGGGCCCGACTACAATGATGACTCGGATTATGACAATGGTGGTGGCGGTGGCGGTGGCGGTGGCGGTGGCGGTGGCGGTGGTGGTGGTGATGATGATGATGATCATGATCATGATCATGATCATGACCACCACAAGGAACATAGCAAGTCGTTGGCCGGCAAATCGTCGGGCAGCATGAACCGATTGTTTAAGCAGAAGCCGTTGGGCCAACAATAACGTGTTCCTGGTGCTTCTGCTGCTGCTGGTGCTGCTGCTGCGGTTTCTTCTGCTGCTGCTACTGGTGCTGCTGCTGCGGTTTCTGCTGCTGCTGCTGGTGCTAGTGCTTCCGGTGCTGGCACTGCTGGTGTTGGTGCTATTGTTGGTGCTGGTGGTACTGCTGGTACTTTTGGTGGTGAAGGTTCCAGGAATTCTGTTGGTGATAGTGCTACTAAAGCTGGGACTAGTGGTACTAGTGCTGTTGGTACAGGTGCAATTGATGGTGCTGGTGCTACTGAAGCTTCAAGTACTACCGGCACTTCTTCTGCTATTGGTGCTGCCAGTGTTAGTGCTGCTGCTGCTGGTGGTGGTGTTAATGCTGGCGGTAAGGGTGATCCTAGCGCCAGTGATGCTGCTGCTGGTGCTATTCCCTCTGGTTCTGGTGGTATTGGTGCTGCTGGTGCTGGTGCTGGTGCTGGTGGTAGTGCTGGTGCTATCGCTGGTGCTGGTGCAACTGAAGTTGCTGGTGCTAGTGCATATATTCCTGCTACTGCTGCTAGTGGTGCCTTTGGTGCTGCTGCTGGTGTCGGTGCTGGTGGTAGCCCTGCTGGTCTTGGTGCTGCCGGTGGCATTGCTGATGTTGGTGGCATTAGTGGTGCTGCTGCAGGTGCTACTAATTCTGCTAGCGCCAGTGTCGCTGCTGCGGATCCTGCTGACGGTGGTACCACTGGTGCCACTGGTGCCAATAATGCTGCTGACATTGGTGCTGGTGTTGTAGTGAAGGATTTGTTAAATGTTGGCTTTTATGCAGCTGTTATAAACGCCCTTTGGGATTTTTTACACTTCAAAGGCATGACATGTGCTTTTCTTGCCATCTTATGACAATACAAGCATTATTCTAAAATCAACCCGTTTTCCAATTTTTGTGCATAACAACTATCTTGAACATATACAAGTCCGTAAAATTGCGAATACAAAGCAGTTTTTCAGTTAACGAACCCGCTAGTCGGAGGCACCTCTTGGTGTAGTCAACTTTCTTGGTGTACGCGTTTTTCAAACAAACCGAAGCAGAAGGTTCGATGTCGGTGACGAGGTAACACTGACAGGCACAAAAGCGAAAAGCCGAGCCTCAAACTGGGTGTTTCCTTCGCCCTGACAGGCCGACAAACGTTGTTGATTGGTCTGTCTGGATACAGCCAGCATCCAGCCTTCCACGCGTTTGACACCCAAACCAAACCTGGCCTAGAAAAAGCGGCACGCTCGGCTTTATCGAACCAGTTGTTTCGTGGCGCGAGCGATGTGCGCTTAGAGAAAAAGCTCCTTATCGACTATTACCACCCAAACCAGTTCTTATTTCACCGTTCCACACCACGCTCCAACGTCGGGTCACGAGCTAGCCAATCTGGTCCGACGCGGGGCGCCCTAGTCACCTTCCTGAGCAGCACCACCTACTCCAGCCCAGAGTCCCTACCACCGACTGCAAACCGAACCCGGGCATGGTCCAAAGCATGAAAGTTCTGCGTGTGCTGCACACGGCAAATCCGCCTATTGTTGTGGTTTGATGATTTGTAATACGGTGCAGAGCGTTGGACGTCCGAAGTAGTAAGTCTAGTTGCTTCTCTTGCATTACCCCTGAGTGCGCTCAGAATTTCAGATTTTCCTACAAAGCGAAACGGATAGTAGTCCCAGCAACAGCTTCCCGCCATCCCGCCATTCACTCTCTCCACCATTCACCATTCCACACGATTCGCTCCAATCGCATTCGCGTCTGACGATCGCTCAGCACAACACACCCTACCCAACCCCACTCCGCCTACCAATACTCCTGCGCCAACACTCGCCCGACCTCATGGCCGCATCCAGAGCGAACAAACCGGCGCGTATCACGACCATGCGCCTCATCGTTACGGTCCTCCTCGTCGCCGCGGTACTAGTTTATGACAGCGCGGCCGCAGCCGCTCCGGGCGCTTCGAGCTCCGCCGGCGATCAGCCATCTCCGTCCGCCCGACATTCCCTAGGCCGTCGCGTCAACAGCCACCAGTGGCGCCTGAAAACATTGCGCAAGTTTCTCCCCACAGGCACTGCTGCTACAGCCGGTGCCGCAACTGCTACAGCCAGCAGCGGAGCAGCGGCGAAACCCGCCACTGCTACAGCCAGCAGCGGAGCTGCGGCGAAACCATTGGTGACCCCTGCCTCGGCGTCTACGTGTCAAGCGTCGACGCTCGCGGGTTACACGAGCTCCGTGGACCTTTCAGGCAAAGGGTGGGTACCGCGACGGGGTTTCAGATTATCCTCGATAGTACCGCGACGGGGTTTCAGAGATTATCCTCGATAGAACGCGACGGGTTTCAGAGATTACCCTCGGTAGTACCGTGACGGGGTTTCAGAGATTATCCTCGATAGTGTAAACGATCCCAGTCTGAATTATATCACCAATATCGTCCTACCCAAGGGCCCGAACTGTTCACGTGTTTCGAGTCGCCTGCACTTTCCTTATGCAAATCCCTGGAATTTTTCCCAAGATCATTATGTACTCCTCCGGGTCGCTTCTTTCTTGTCCAGACTCATCCTTCATTGGAAAAAGTCAACGGGGTCGACGATCGACCTGGCGCTCGAGGCCAAGTCAACGAGCGGCGCGGCGAGCGGGTGGTTCGCGGTGGCGTGGACCAACGGCGGCATGTTCAACTCCGACGCGGTCATCGGGAACCTCGCGACGGCCAGCGGCGTCGGCACGTACGCGATATCGAGCTACTCGAGTGTGACTCCCACGACGCGCTTCGCCATCACCGGCACGAGCGTTACCGCGTCGGGTGGAAGAACTGTTGTGAAGTTCACGCGCGCGTCGGGGAACGGGCTCGTGCCGGTGAAGGTGGCCGGGAGCAACAAGCTCGTCTGGGCTTACTCGGAGTCTGGAAGCTCGAAGACTGTTGCCAATCATGGCGGCTCGCACAGGTAATACCGCGCGCTCTCTCGGTTCTGAATGGCTGTCACTTTGTCGCAAGCTCGTGTTTTAGTCGGGGTCTGGCGGCTCGAAATCTGTTGCCAACGATGGTGGCTCGCACAGCACAGGTACTGCCGCCACGCGATCTCTCGCGTCTGAATGGATCTCACTTCATTCGCACCTTCAACCTGCCGATTTGAATATTTGCATATACAGAAAAGGTTTCACTTCCCTTCCCCTCGTCCCCGCCCGTTTTCCAACCCTCCAGAGGAGCCAAGACCGTCGATTTCTCTTGTGACGGCACAGCCTCTGGGTCAGGCTCGGGGTCAGGCTCGGGATCAGGCTCGGGCACCGGAGCAGGCACATGCACGGAAAACACAGGCGTGAGCGGCACGGCATGCCCTGCGTCCACCCTCTGCGGCTACTCCTACCAGGCGCAGATAAAACCTGGGTATGTGCGTGCATGCATAGGCGATCAAACACGGGTATGCATGCAGAGCTAAACGTTCTAGCTACTGGTGTCACCATTCCTGCGAAAACACTTCTCACTAGAAATGCAACCCATTCTCCTTTTCCCTCCCTCCACCTCCCCTCCCACGTCTCCACTTCTTCCACATACTCTCCCCAGCGTGCTGCTGCACTGGAAGCCCTCGTCCGCCAAACAGCTGGACATGGCTGTGGAGCTCAAGGCATATCATTCATCCCCCTTTTCCCCCCTCCCGTTCGCACTCCAACCCCGTCCCCCCGTCGCTTCCTCCCCCCTTCCGCAGAGTGCTGCTGCACCGGAAGCCCGCATCCGACACGCAGCTGGACATGGCCGCAAAGCTCAATACAAGAGAATAACCCCTTTTATTCTCTGCCCTCCTCCCCCATTTGCTGCCTCATTCTCTGCCCTCCGCAGTGTGCTGCTGCACTGGAAACCCACGTCAGCCACGCAGCTGGACATGGCAGTGGAGCTCAAGAGCAGCAGCGGTGCCAGCAACGGCTGGTTCTCCCTCGGCTGGGCCTCTGGAGGAGGCATGGCTCCCGCCGATGCTGTCATTGGCAACAGGGACGGGGGACTCGTCAGCCCGTATTACATTGACGGCTACACCATGGCCTCATTAAAAGGTGGCTCGTTTGACATTGGCAGCAGCGCTGGGACCGTGACCTCTGCTACAGGGTCCACAGTGATCCAGTGAGTGGGCCGCACAATGGTGCGAGGTCATGACATCACATCAGTTACTGTTTTATTCTTTCGTCTGCCCCCACTGTCACCCGCTACCCGGACTGTCCGTTACTCCCTACTCCCTGTCCTGAGCAATATCTGAACCAGGAAAAATAAACACCTTTTTTTTTCCTGTGGACCAATCAGATTCTCGCGCACGGCCAACACGGGGTCTATTCCCATGAAGATGAGCGGCGTACATCGGATCATATGGGCGCACTCACCCACCAACTCCAAGACCCTTGGCTTTCACTTCACTGCCGCGTGAGTCCTCCTCAACCTGTCTGTTTCCATGTCTCTTTTACACCTTGGGATTTGAGACATCTTAAAACTCGCACTCACCCACCAATTTAAGACCCTTGGCTTCCACTTCACTGCCGCGAGAGTCTTCCTCGACCTCACTGCTTCCATGTTCCCTGCACCTCTCTCATAGTATCAAACAATACCCTTTGTTCGTCTCTCTCCAATTACACTGCTATTTACCTCTCTGTTTCCATCCCTATGTACTTCTCATGCTGGACCAGTGCCTTCGCCACGGACCCCCCTCTGCCACTGCTCCATCCAACATGTTGTTATTCAGACGTCTTGAAACTATCCATCTCTTCCTCCCTCGCTCCGATCACTCCCATCACAGTGGTCATACCTCTGTGGACTTTTCCTGTGCCACTGCACCATCTACGGAGACTGGTCTTAAAGCAGTGGGGCCTTTGGTCTACCAGTTCATCACTTGGCTTGCCGGGTCACTCTTCGGCCTCAACAAGTCACAGATGTACACATCGCACACTTCTTCTAGCCCCATCGGATAAGGGAAGACGAGGGTAGAGTAGGTAGTGTTGTCGACAGGCTGGAGCACAACCATCTTTTGGAGGTCTGTGATGTTGGCCGGAAAAGATGGTTGTGATGCCATGCCTTGCTGTTTATTTGCAATTGTTTTGTGGGTATTTGTAATATATGACTGAAGAAGACAGTGCTCAATTTACCCACCCCATTAGGTGTTTGCAATAGGTGCAGTGTTGAGAAAAGTTATAGCTCGTGTATTGAAATGCATTGCAACGGAGAGCTGGCCCCAGAACCCCCACCTACCACAGTCAACAACCTTCAACATGCCACGCCAGCCTTTCTGTATCCTGCACTGGTTGACTGGGACTGGTTCTCGTGCCAGCGCGGCAATGGAAGTTTACGGGACCCACGTGCTTCTTCCCGACGGAAATTGCGAAAATGACCCCCGCGAGGTAGGGTTACCCTCTGTCGCCCACCTCCTTGCGCCAAGCAACAGTTCGACCGACCTCGCGAACACGCTTCACGAGCAAGCTATCGCTGAATGACAGTGGTCGGTGACGGGGTCAAATACATTGGCCAATCAGAAAGCACCAAAGGTATCGTGCTTGTGCTGAATTCATGACCACCACCCTTCTTGATTTTGACCACCACACACCCAGGGCAGGAAAAACACGTGTCCCCGCGATGCGCAACTAGTACAATGCGGCGGCGGACGACTGGATTCCCCAAACCGGTAGTTTCGGGGCGCGCTGTTGCGCCAGGGGCAATGCGCGCCTTGCAGCCAATCAGCATACTCCAATTCCACCATTCCACGGGCCATCGCCGCCCCGCTTATCGACTCCTGGTCGCACGGTGTCCCCTTTCCGCCCGCCTGCCTGCTCATTCTTTCTCTCGATTGCCCTATCAATTTCTCTATAAATCCTACCGCTAACAAGATTATCGCAGACTCCCCCCTAGACCTCCATCCGCATTTCCGTAACGCCCGCTCAACTCAACCTACTCCATCCACTCTCACCGCATCCAACACCACTCCACCAACTCTCACACACGCCAACCCACCTCCGTTTCCATGGCTCCAGCCCGAGCTCTGAGAGCGCACGAACCGGCGCGCGTCACGCTCATCACAATGCGCCTCTACATTACGTTCCTCCTCGTCGCTGCGAGCGCCGCCGGCGAACATTCAACGCCATCCGGCCGGAAATCCCAAGGCATCACCAATAGATTCCACTCGTGGCGCATGACAACCTTGCGCAAGCTTCTTCACAAAGGCGCTGCGGCTGCTACAGCCGGCGGCAGCGCAGCTGTAGCGGCGAAACCATTGGCGACGCCTGCCGCCACGGGCACGTGTCAGGCGTCGACCCTCGCGGGTTACACGAGCTCCGTGGACCTTTCGGGCAACGGGTACGTACGGGGCGTACGCCGATAAGAGTGCAAGAATCCCCGATACCGTATTATTCCCCGATATCATATTTTCGATAGACTGCAAGAATCCTAACCGTCGTCTGTGCATTATACGTGGAACATTTCTTGCCCACAATTTCTCATGTTATCCTCCGGGACGCGTTCTGTTTATGCAGTCTCATCCTGCACTGGAAAAAGTCAACGGGGATAACGATCGACCTCGCGCTCGAGGCCACGTCAACGAGCGGCGCGGCGAGCGGGTGGTTCGCAGTCGCGTGGACTAACGGCGGCATGTTCAACTCCGACGCGGTCATCGGGAACCTCGCGACGGCCAGCGGCGTCGGCACGTACGCGATATCGAGCTACTCGAGTGTGGTTACCACAACACGCTTCGCCATCACCGGGGCGAGCGTCACTTCATCAGGCGGGAGCACGATCGTAAAATTCACGCGCGCCGCGGGAAAAGGTCTCGTGCCGGTGAATGTGGCGGGAAGCAACAAGCTCGTGTGGGCTTACTCGATGAGCGGCTCGAAGACACTCGCCATCCACGGCGGCGCGCACAGGTGCCTTTCACGCTCCCGCTCCCTTCAATTTTGGTCATTGCGTCACCGGAGCTCATGTACTAGTGCATACCAGCACTAAATTGCACTTCCTGCCCACTTCCTCACTTCTCCTCATTACCAACTCTCACTTCTCCTCGTTTTCTTCCATCGTCCACCCCTGTTTCCAACTGCAGAGGAGCCAGTACTGTTGACTTTTCTTGCGACGGCACTGGTGGCTCGGGTTCAGGCTCGGGGTCAGGCTCCGGCTCTGGGTCAGGCTCCGGGTCAGGCTCAGGATCAGGCTCGGGATCAGGCTCGGGCACTGGCGCAGGCACGTGCACGGGCAACACGGGCGTGAGCGGCACCAAATGCCCTGCGTCCACCCTCTGCGGCTACTCCTACCAGGCGCAGATCAAACCGGGGTATGCGTGACGCAGAGGAGATTAAATCGCATTTTGATCAATTGTAACCACCACTGCTACTGCATGCATCAATTTTGCAAATTGTTTTCATTTCTCAGCCGGTCCTCTCTTCCTCACCTCTGTTTCGATTTCTGCAGAGTGCTGCTGCACTGGAAGCGCGCGTCCGCCACGCAGCTGGACATGGCTGTGGAGCTCAAGAGTAGCAGCGGCGCCGCAAACGGCTGGTTCGGCCTTGGCTGGGCCAACGGCGGCGATATGGCTCCCTCCGACGCAGTCATTGGCAACAAGGCTGGGGGACTCGTCAGCGCGTACCACATCACCGGCCAGAGCATGGCCTCGTTACAAGGCGCATCGTTTGACATTGGCGCCAATGCTGGCACCGTGACATCAGCTTCGGGATCTACAGTGATCCAGTGAGTGCCGAGCTTTTGTGGTGCTCATTAATGCCTGCGTAACCCGCCCTCTCACCTGTTCTATGTTTCCCTCATGCTTCGCATTCTCTCTCTCTCTCTCTCTCACTCTCTCTCTCTCTCTCTCTCTCTCTCTCTCTCTCTCTCTCTCTCTCTCTCTCTCTCTCTCTCTCTCTCTCTATCTCTCTCTCTCTTTTCTAATTGATTAACCGATTGTGTCTAATCTTCTTTCACCCTCGACCAATCAGGTTCTCGCGCACGGCCAACACGGGGGCTATTCCCATGAAGATGAGCGGACTCAAGACGCTCATATGGGCGCATTCCAACACCAACTCCCAAACCCTTGACTTCCACGGCGACAGTGTGTGAGTCTCCCTGCCATTGCCTCTTGTTCGATATGTCCGCCTTTTGAGGCGCCTCAAAATCTCATATGGGCGCATTCCAACACCAACTCCCAAACCCTTGACTTCCACGGCGAAAACGTGTGAGTCTCCCTACCTCTACCTCTCGTTTGATACATTCACTTCTCACCCCTGCTTTCCTCTTTGTTTACCTCTACTTCTTCACTTGCGGATCTCAAGCCTCTATCTCTTCAAGCTGCACACATCCTCTCCACTTCCTCCCCTTAATCTCACCACCCTCTTTCCCCCTACTCTCTCCCTTGCACTTGTTCCACCACAGAGGTGGAATGAGAGTGGACTTCTCCTGTGCCAAGGCCCCATCTTCTCACAATGGGGAGGGCAGCGATGGCGGTGGTAGCCTTACAGGGCCTACATTCTCACAGATTGTCTCTTGGCTTGGCTCTCTCTTTGGCAAACACAAGTAGTGGGTGCTCGCTGTATGCTGCACACTGCACACTGTACACTGCATGCTGCACAGTTGCACAGCACTGGTAGAGGGAGGGTGAGCTTAGGCGATGAGATGAGTTGAGTAGTGTAGTGGCAGAAGCGGGGAGGGAAATGGGAATGGGTCGGATCGGCCGGACCACAGGCATCTTTTGGAGCTGTGTGGTCCCATCAGACACAGCGCAAAAGATGGTTGTGATGCCTTGCCTTGCTTTATTTAGTGCATTGCCAAATGTATGCCTGTGCTGGCCATGGTGGCCCATTTATTCAAATGCTGCCCTTATTCTATCGAACCACGAAGTGAAACAGCTTCAGTGGAATTTTGCAGGTTCACGTAAACAACTATTGTTGACATCAGGGCGTGACTAGGGTTGTATATTTATGAGATCTTGCGTATCACATTCTTTTTGCGAGTATATACGTATATACATAGAGAACATACAGATACATTTATACATGAAGGGATCATATATGTTTTTGCGTTTGGATCGTATGTAGGCTGAAATAAGTTATCGTGCTACTGTAATATGCCAACAAAATGACCCGAATGTACTACGGTGCCAAGCCGAGCCGCGATGCCATCTTGTTCCCACGAAAAGCCATCGGAATCGCGTTCTTAGCAAGAATGAAGACCCCGAGGCACGAAGGGTGAATGTGCGAATTTCGGTGCTGCAATCACAAGCACAATGGCTCGAGCAGCCTGAACAAGGGTTGGGTTTTCTGAATTTGTCGCGTAATGTCGGACATTTGCAATTCAGCTAGGACACCCACTAAAGGATAATGTCGGAGTTTCCACGCGTGTGATGCATTTGGACGTTTTTGTCCCCCCCGCGCCGCGTTTTGCAGGTGCCAGGCTTCTTGATACACCTATCAGATCGGCCAGTTTCCACGGTATATAAATTCGCGAAGCCCACATTGTCTAAAGTATCAGAATTTAGCTTGTGATCTCGTCACTGATCGTTGTTAGCTTACCTCCTAAGGAACGCCATTTTTTCTCCGTCAAGCTTCCTACTTGCATCCTTAACGCCTGCACCCAGCCATGGCTCGCCACGCAATGGGCGTAATACACCTTCTTATATTGGCTTCCTCTCTATTCTCCGCGGCGCACGCTGCGGACATGAAATACCGCGGCGACCTCGCGGGTTCTGGAGATTCCAACAATCAGTTCATTGGCAATCACGAGCCCGTCAGTCCCGCCGCTGTCATCACACCCCGCCCCAACGACCCCGAGCCTGCTATCCCGCCTCCCGAGCCTGTTACAGCGGCGAGCGACCCCGTCTCCACTCCAAACCCGGCATCGGGCTCTCAAGACGTCTTCACTGACGATCCTTTCGGAACATCTGGGCCGTCGATCTCGAACCCCGGTCCGTCGTTCGACCCCAACGACCCTCTGGGCGGCAGGGACCCTCTCGCGGGCGACGACTCCAAGACCGGTGTTCAGCAGACAAGCGCGGCGGATTCTAGCGCGTATGCCGGGACTGTGCAGCCTAACCAGGTCAGCTCGGGGATCCCGATCACTCCCAATATTCCAGACAATGACACGACTCCGAATATTCCCGATACCCCAGACAGCGGCACGAACCCGGTTTTTCCCAACACTCCAGGCAACGACACTAGCACGGTTGTTCCCGATACTCCAAACAACGTCACTGACACTGGCGTCGCGCAAAATTCCACCTGCGACCCGTCCGACTTGGACGGTTACACGTCGTCGTATCAAATCACCAAGTACGGCCACGTGCTCCACTGGGCCGTCGTCTCTCCAACGGTCGTCAAAATCGCGTTCGAGACGAAGCACGGCAGCGGTGCGAGGCTGGGATGGGTCGCTGTTGGATTCTCCAAGGACGGCAAGATGAAGAAAGCTGACGCAATCATCGGCAACTTGCCGGACACGCCCATCGCAGCCTACTCGATGAAGGGATACGACGCGGATTCTATCAAGGTCAACAAGGACCTCTGGATCGGCGACGACGCGAGCCTCCTCTCGAAGACCAACGGGAGCCTCATCATGAAGTAAGCCCTTTCAAACTTCACCTCCCAGAGCAATGAGCAACAAACGTTAATCCCTTTCCCCGTTTCCTTTCCGTCTTCGCTGCCGAAGCTTACACGTGAATGTAGCAAGAAAAGCTTTTCCGTGAATGATTTTTTCAGCAACAAACGTTAATTGACGTTTTTCGTCTGGTTGACGCCTTCAGGTTCGAACACCACGGAAGGCGTTGCGCCCATCTCCACGACTGGCAACGTCACCGTCATCTGGGCCTTCTCCTCTGACAACACCCAGCCGCTCGCATATCACGGCGACAAGAGACGGTACGCGCGCAGTCCCGTTCTACATACCTACCCTTATCCAAGAGCTTTTCAACAGCGGCAGTTTCACACCAATCTGATCCGCACTCCTTGCCCTTATCCTAACCGCTCATTTCGACTTTCTGTTTGTGTTTCCTTCGCGCAGTGGCTCTTTCCAAGTTGACTTTTCGTGCAACGGCGGCGGCGGCGGCGTGGCGGCGCAACAAACGGTGCCGGTGGTGGCGGCGCAGGGCGGAAATGTGACGGTGGGGTCGTCGTGCCCCAAGTCGACGCTAAGCGACTTCGAGCACCAAGCGGATCTCTCCGGCGGAAAGTAAGCGTTGTTTCACGTAACCAGCGGTACTATTTACAGTGTAGTACAATCACTCAATAGTGTTAACAACATCACCATGACCCTTTCTGTCTCGAGTTTGATGCACAAGTTGTTTCTTGTTTTTGCACGTGAATGCACCCTAATACTGCTTGCATGCTTCCGTACGGCCTCCCATCTTCTGTTATTCCTCGAATCACCGCCAGGATTCTGCTGCACTGGAAGGTTCTGCCCGGTCCCGTCTTCCAGATGGCTCTCGAGGCGAAGCCCCTCAGTGGCGCGGAGAACAGCTGGATTTCCGTCGGGTGGTCCAACAACGGGGCCATGGCGCCTGCCGACGCCGTTGTTGGTAACACGCCCGGGATCAAGGCGTACCGACTCGATGGTTACAAGATGGCTGAGATCGTCAACGACACGTTTTCGCTCGGGCCGAACCCGTCTGTTACCACCTCGACATCTGGGTCCACAATTGTGAAGTGCGTGATTTCTCCAGAGCCTTTGTTATACCCAATCATTTGCGGTCTTCCACGGTTTTAGCAGGGGACTCCAAATGCGCACGGCAAATTTAAACTCGTGTGAATTTGCTTCTCGATTCCACAGGTTCTCTCGCACCAACGGGGATGGCGGCACGGTTCCGATCAACCTGAGCGGCGAGACGTATGTCATCTGGGCCTTCTCCCGCGGCATGCTCGAGGCGTTCGGCTATCACGAAAACAACAGGTGCGTTACTACCATCTGGAAAAATATGGCTCTGTTTTGCAGTGCATACAATAAATTACGGACAGGGGTCTGTGCTGGGCTAGCGTGCTGGCTGAACTAACCGTGCTGGTAACTCGTCATTTTCTTCGCAGGGGTCTCGCCATGGTTGATTTCCTCTGCAACAAGGACTCCACCATTCTGATGCGGCCTGGCGAAAATATTGCGAACATTCCTGGTGCTAATGTGGATGACGACCCTTACGCGAGTCTGACCCCTGCCGAGCGGGCGGACAAGGAGGCCCGCAGAGAGCGCCGGACAGCGCGCCGAGCCAATCGCGGGGCTATCTTCCGTTCATGGGCCGACGCTATGTTTGGCCTCCCCAGCCCTGTCCAAACGTCCCGTCCGTCATCGCCATTGCCCTGAATACCTAGCATTTTCCACTATTCTTTTTAGACAGTAGGGACATAACGGAATCTATAGTAGCCTGCTAGGTTTGTAGAACTAGGTGTTAGCCTTATTGTTGTAGATGTCTTTAGCACAGCCATTTTGCAAACATATACTATGCGAGGTATTTTCATCTTCTTCATTGGCCCTCTGTGTCAGCTGACTTGAATAAGTACGGTAGGGATGATTTAATTTTAGGAGGAAACCTTGCATGCTAAGGTTGGCATGACAAACTAAATGTTGACAACTCCAAACAGCAGGAGGGTATAGTGATATGGTATGGTATTATGCGTGACTGGAACACAAGGACATAAATAGCAACACATCACAAACAAACAGCAGAGGCATGGCATCACAACCATCTTTTGCGCTGTGTCCGAACACAACAGCCCATACAACTCCAAAAGATGCCTGTGGTCCGGCCGAGCTGGCTCCCTCCCCTAACCTCCTTTTATACTAAAATCAACACTTCACGAAACCTCCTCCAATGCAGCAAGTAGGGTGCAATATTCTGCGCACATGCTCCATTGTACAGTCTACAGTGTACAGGGTACACTGGACAGTGTACAGTGTACACCAACTACTTGCGGAAGCCGAAGAGCGAGCCGAGCCAAGCGATGAACTGCGAGAACAGCGCGCTCCCAGCACCGGAACCACCCCCGCCGAAGCCACCGTCACCATCACCATCATAATCACCACCCCCCTCGTGATCACCATCGCCATCGCCACCATCATCATCGCCCCCACCGCCGCCGCCAGAGGATGGGGCAGTGGCACAGGAAAAGTCCACGGACATGTAGCCACTGCGTTAAAAGGAGTGATAGGGAGAGGGAGAGGGAGAGGGAGAGGGAGAGAGGGTGGTGAGATGAAGGAGAGGACGGAGTTTGCAGAAGGGCCAAGTCCACCGCGAGAGGTGCCGAGCGGTAGAGGGAAGAGCATAGAGTGGAAAAGAGAGATGAAAGAAGAGAGGTAAAGAGACAAGAGGGAGGCAGAGGGACTTGGAGCTGGAGTTGGAGTGCAGCCATATGAGCTTCTCGAATGCGAAATTATCGAACAAGAGGTAGGGGTAGGGGAACTCACTCAGCGCCGCCGTGGAAGGCAAGAGACTTGGAGTTGGAGTTGGAGTGCGCCCATACGAGCCGACTGACGCCGCTCATCTTCATGCCCTGAGACCCCGTGTTGGCCGTGCGCGAGAACCTGATTGGTCCATAGGCGGGAAAAGAGAGAAAGCCGTTAGTTTGTTTGGGTTGGAAAAAACTGTTGAAATTAAGGGGGAATAGGAGAACAGCAGGTGGGGTAGGGGGTCACAGTGTAAGCCGACGGAATAATGGAATGACGATTGTGCAGAAAATAAACACAGTAGCTGATGTCATGACCGAGAACCAATCGCCCCACTCACTGGATAACTGTGGAGCCCGTAGCAGACTTCACGGTCCCAGCGCTGCTGCCAATGCTAAACGAGCCGCCTTGTAACGAGGACATGCTGTAGCCAGTGATGTGGTACGCGCTGGTGATTCCCCCGGCCCTGTTGCCAATGACAGCATCGGAAGGAGCCATGCGTCCTCCCCAGCCGAGGGCGAACCAGCCGTTGCTGGCGCCGCTGCTGCTCTTGAGCTCCACCGCCATGTCCAGCTGCGTGGCGGACGCGCGCTTCCAGTGCAGCAGAACGCTGGAGAGAGGGGGGATGAGGAGGAGAGGAGGAAAGTGGGGAGAAAAGAGGGGAATGAGCTCTTGAGCTCCACCGCCATGTCCAGCTGCGTGGAGAAGGCTCGCTTCCAGTGCAGCAGCACTCTGGGGAGGGGTTTGGAAGGAGGAGAGAGGGGGAAAAAGGGGTTACAAATGGCAAAAGCAGTAGAAGAAGGGGTTACAATGGTCAAAGCAAATGCAGTAGCAGCATCCGGATTCGGTCGCCGCGCTTACCCAGGTTTGATCTGCGCCTGGTAGGAGTAGCCGCAGAGGGTGGACGCAGGGCATGCCGTGCCGCTCACGCCCGTGTTACCCGTGCACGTGCCTGCTCCGGTGCCCGAGCCTGATCCCGAGCCTGATCCCGAGCCTGACCCGCTTGACCCCGAGCTTGAGCCCGTGCCGTCGCAAGAGAAATCAACAGACTTGGCTCCTCTGGAGGGTTGGAAACAGGGCAGGACGGACCAAGGAAGGAGAAACTACACATTTATGAAGTGCGAAACGACTACATCTAGAACCGGTGGGCTGACGCTACAGAAAACGGGTAAATTTGTAACGAAGTGACAGACAGCCAGTCAGAATCAAAGAGAGCGCAAGGCGGTACCTGTGCGAGCCGCCATGGTTGGCGACAGTCTTCGAGCCGCCAGAAGAGTAAGCCCACACGAGGCTGTTGCTCCCCGCCCCGTTCACCTTCACAAGCCCGTCTCCCGTGCCGCGCGTGAACTTCACGATCGTGCTTCCGCCTGACGAAGCAACGCTCGTGCCCGTGATGGCGAAGCGCGTCGTGGTAACCACACTCGAGTAGCTCGATATCGCGTACGTGCCGACGCCGCTGGCCGTCGCGAGGTTCCCGATGACCGCGTCGGAGTTGAACATGCCGCCGTTAGTCCATGCGACCGCGAACCACCCGCTCGCCGCGCCGCTCGTTGACTTGGCCTCGAGCGCCAGGTCGATCGTTGACCCCGTTGACGTCTTCCAGTGAAGGATGAGCCTGGGGAAACAAACAAAGCGCGTCCCGGAGATAAATTAAAATTTGAGGCTACGAAAGCAGGTCAGAGATTTTGGGAGAAAAGAAATACGTGAAATGAAAGGAATGAAAAGATCTCATAGATACGGCTAATATCGGGGGTTTTGTCCAAAGACTCAATATAGGACTCACCCGTTGCCCGAAAGGTCCACGGAGCTCGTGTAACCCGCGAGAGTCGACGCCTGGCACGTGCCCGTGGCGGCAGGCGTCACAGTCTTCGCCGCCGCTACAGCTGCTCCGCCTGTAGCAGCAGCAGCGCCAGTGGGTTGCGAGGGCTTGAGGTGGAATTTTTTGCGCCAAAGGTTGAATCGGTTGAGGAGGCCTTGGGATTTTCGGAGATATGGCGATGGTGCGGAACTCGCAGCATCCGGCGCAGCGGCGACGCTGCCTACGAGTACCGCGGCGACGAGGAGGAACGTGATGGAGACGCGAATGAGGTTAAATACACGCGGTTCGTGTTCTCTGGCGGCAGCCATGACTCTAAGCGATGGGGGGCTGAGCTTGCGCAATGCGAGAGCGAGTGCGGTGGGGTGACGTGGAGAGTGGATTAGCGATAAGCTGAGCGGATGAGACGTGGAGATGAGGACGGAGGTGGAGGGAGCCAGATGGTGGTAGGCTAGGGCGGAGTGTGGTTGGATTGGAGATTCTTATGGCTGGTTAGCTTTATAGGAGGAAGACACGGATGTTAGTAGAAACTAGGGAAAGAGAACGACAGTGGATGGGATGGGATGGGATGGGGGGAGAGGACGCAGCAGGAGGAGGCGATTTGCGGGGGCGAAGTGGGGGAGGGAGTGAAAGAGAGCGGTGTGAGAGAACCGGGGTGGGGTGGGGTCGACTGAGAGTAGAGGGGTTGAACGAAGTGGTGTGGGGTTGCGTTTGGTGAAATAGGGTGGAGGGGCGGAATTAATGAATGCCGACAAGAATCGGATCCGTTTCCCCCTTGTGGCGCAACGCAGCTGCGCACCGAGACGACTGGCTGGAGGCACGCGTTGCTCCGCCGCCGCATCTCGATGCGAGTCGCGGTGACACGTGTTTTCCCAGCTCCGGGTGTGCACCTTCGCGTGGAAACCCGCTGGATGCAATGTTGAGGAGTCGAGGTTCGGCTTTTGGTGCACAGTTGTAGCGGTTGGTCGTCGTTACAGTGCAGAAGCAAGAGAGCTTCGGTAGTTCCTTATTGGCTAACGTTGACAGCTTGGTCACCGACCACCACTGGGCAGCTGTTTCGTTCGCGAAGCAAGCCCGACGATGGTCGTTATTTTTCCTAACGGGGTCGTCGTCAAATCAAAGCTGTTATGCGAACTTGTCGGTGTAGGTCGCAGCGATGAACCAAAGCAGAGAGTGAGCAGCGTGTGTGACACCAAATTTTCGTTCGGATGGTGCGCTGGCACTGTGGTTTGTCCGGATGGTCAACGAAACTCACACACGAGTACGCCAAACGAGCTTGTCCACGAAGTTTGAAAACGAACCCCTCTACAAGCAATCCCGTGTAAAGTGGCTGGAAATTCAGGCTGTCAGTCTATTCCGTTGAACCCACTCTCACCTTGATTTCTGTAAGGTGAATAATGGACAACTTAAACAAAAAATTAAGCCCATGGCAACCCGAACACTTACTTTCATAATGACACAATGGTGCCACTTTTAGTGTTACAATGGGACCACATGGAAGCCATTCCAGCTAAGCGGCATTCTCCCCACGAGACGCTGGCATGTCTACTTGTTTATAGAAAATGTTTCATACTGATGATAAGGTAGGTCACAAAAGAATGCATCGAGGTGCCTAACCTACATTATGTGGGTACAAGAACTTACTCTAATTAGCATAGCACATCTACACCCAAGCAGAATCCACATCTTGTAAGGCTTGTGAAGAAACTAGGCGTAGAAAATAATATTTCAGTGCAGCATGATGGCGACTTAGGGGTAGGTCGATGGGTTCGTTGACGGGGCGGGATTGGGGAGGCCAAACGCAGCATCAGCCCATGAACGGAAAATAGCTCCGCGCTGTGCTCGGCGCGCTGTGCGGCGCTCCCTGCGGGCCTCCTTGTCCGCCCGCTCGGCAGGGGTCAGGCCCGCGTAAGGATCCTTGTCCACTTTAGCACCCGGGATAGTCGCCACATTGTCGGCAGGTCCCATCAGGCTGGCGGGAGCTTTGTTGCAGAGGAAATCAACCGTGGCGAGACCCCTGCCGGAGTTACCAGCAAAGACAGCGTAAGGACGAAGGTTCGTTCCGCAGGATACGTTGACAGACTGGTAACACATCGTGCAACGCACCTGTTGTATTCGTGGTAACCGAACGTCTCGAGCATGCCGCGGGAGAAGGCCCAGATGACGTACGTCTCGCCACTCAGGTTGATCGGAACCGAACCGCCATCCCCGTTGGTACGGGAAAACCTGTGGAATCAAGAAGCAACCCGAACAGTGTTTAGGCGTGCGCATGTGAGGCTTGTACTGCAAGCTAAACTGCTCTGGTGAAAACACTCACTTCACAACTGTGGACCCAGTAGCCGAGGTGGTGACCGACGGGTTCGGCCCGAGCGAAAACGTGTCGTTGACGAGCTCTGCCATCTTGTAACCATCAAGTCGGTACGCCTTGATCCCAGGCATGTTACCAACGACTGCGTCGGCAGGCGCCATGGCCCCGTTGTTCGACCAGCCGACGGAAATCCAGCTGTTCTCTGCGCCGCTGAGGCGCTTCGCCTCGAGTGCCATCTTGAAGACGGGACCCGGCAGAACCTTCCAGTGCAGCAGAATCCTGCGGACGGCACGTGAAAAGACAGAAGAGAGCGAGCAAGAATCATTAGGCGAGATCAAGATGCACTTGAACGAGATATGAAGCGGATCATGAAACGAGACATGTCAGTATCGGGAAAGAAACGCGTACTTTCCTTCGTAGAGAAAAGCTTGGTGGTCGTACTGGTCGAGTTAATGATGGTGATGGTTGGATTAACACGAATCGCACGGCAGGGATTGCAAGAAAAACTCACTTTCCGTTGTAGAGATCAGCTTGGTGGTCGTACTGGCCGAGCGTCGACGCATCGCACGCCGACCCCACCGTCACCTCCGTGCCCTGGACCGGCACGGGCACCGGCGCCGTCGGCTGCGTCGCCACGCCGCTGCCGCCATTGCATGAAAAGTCAACCTGGAAAGAGCCGCTGCGAAGAGGAAAACGGAAACAAAAAATCGAGGTAAGCCGCAAGGGAACAGGGAAGATTGAGAACTACTAGGTGGTGCAAAGTTTCCGCCGCTAGGAAGGAGTGGGATCAGGGCAGAATTGGAGGGACTGCGTGGGTACCGTCGCTTCTCGCCGTGGTAGGAGAGCGGCTTGGTGTTGTCGGCGGAGAAGGCCCAGATGACGGTGACGGGTGAAGTCGTGGAGATGGGCGCAACGCCGTCCGTGATGGTTCTCTGGAACCTGAAAAGGGTCAACGAAACGGAAAACGTCAACGACCGTGCGTCCTCCGGAAGTCACGAAAAAGGCGTCATGATGCAGGCATTACTATGGGAGGCGAGGTGTAAAAGGCTTACTGCATAATGAGGCTGCCGTTGGTCTTGGTCACGAGGCTCGCATCGTCGCCGATCCACAGGTTCTTATTGACCGTGATGGACCCCGCATCGTAACCCGTCATCGAGTAGGCTGCAATGGGCGTGTCTGGCTGGTTACCGATAATGGCGTCAGCGGGCGACATCTTGCCGTCCTTAGAGAAACCCACGGAGACCCATCCCAACGCCGCGCCGCTGCCGCGCTTAGCCTCGAAGGCGATTTTGACGACCGTTGGAGAGACCACGGCCCAGTGCAGCACGTGGCCGTACTTGGTGATCTGGTACGATGACGTGTAACCATCCAAGTCGGACGGGTCGCAGGTGGACGATTGCGCGACGCCAGTGTCGTTGTCGGGAACATCGGGAACAGTCGGGGGCACCTGATTCACCTGGTTGGGCTGCGCTGTGCCGTCATACGCGCTAGAGTCGGTCGCGCTTGTCGTCTGCATGCCGGTCTTGGAGTCATCGCCCGCGAGAGGGTCCCTGCCGCCCAGAGGGTCGTTGGGGTCGAACGACGGACCCGAGTTGGCGACGGGCGCCGGTTTCGAGCTACCAAAAGGATCGTCAGTGAAGACGTCCTGAGAGGCCGACACGGGGTTCGGAGTGGTGACGGAGTTGATGGGAGTAGCCGGCTTGGGAGTCGCAGGCTCGGGAGTCACAGGCTCGGGAACAGGCTCGGCAACAGGCTCGGGGTCCCTGGGGCGGGGGGTGATAACAGCGGCAGGAGTGACGGTGTCGTAGTTGTTGATGAATTGCTTGTTGGTACCTCCGGCACCGGTTAGGTCATCGCGGGTTTTCATCTCCGCGGCGTGCGCGGAGAGGAGGGCGGACGCCAGAAGGACAAGAGTTAGGACGCCCATTGTGTGGCACGGGCGAGCCATGGCTTGGAGCAGCTACCAGTATCGAGGCAAAACGAGAACTTGCTTGAAGGGAAGGTGATCGCTGTGTAGGAAACGAATGGCAACAATCGATTGGTAGTGAACGACTTGCTGGTTTCAGATGTGCTATGCAAATGAACCTGGGTCTATTTGAACTTGGGCCTCGTTAAGTTGTTGGGGGATCTGAGACTAGCCTGGTAGGCACATGCAAATCGCGACGCGCGACCGACAGAAACGTGTCCAAGTTCACTACACATCACATCAATCAGGCCATAGCGGGTTGCTTGCCTGGACTAAGGATGTTCTCTGTTACTCCCTGACGGCGTGATTGAAGCCATGTCCCTTTAGACACAAGCATAGAAAACTGCGCAGTCGACTTTCGTGCCTGGAATTCTACATTCTGGAGAACCTTGAGATTCTGGACGGACAGCTTTTCGTGCCAGGGGAGGGGGCTGGGAACAGTGTGGCATCGCGGCTCGGACTTGGCTACACCGACAACAAAATCTCATCGCATTTCGAGACTCACGTAGCTCGCCAAGCCTGAACTCAATGTCGCGGCTCGTTCTTTTTGACCAATCAGAGCCAATATCTAGCCAGGAGGCGCAAAAACCATCACTCACACGATGGCATACACAGCAGATCTTGCGGTAAGTGGGCGCTACACCATGAACGCTATAGAAATGTTTCAGGGCACTCATATTATCTCTCCCAACCAATCTAATGCACCTACCTCTGAGAGTCACAACATACTCCAGCATCTGTACTAATACTTCAGTTACCTGGTTTTTAGGAAACCAGTCTTAAATTGATAAATTCGAGGACTGTTTTCATTTGTTCTGTTTGTTTCTAAATGCGAGCCTGACGTCACTGTGTAAAAGACTGTTCATGGGCTCGACTGTTCTTCACCCATTACCGGTTAACAATTTTTGCCACCTCACCTCACTCTATACTTTTTCCAAACCTTGCACTTATGTACATGAAGGAATTGGCTTACTCCTCAGGAGAAGCCCGAACCTCGCTACCAGCATCGCATAAACTATGATAGGTCGCAACATCACCTTATTGTTTGCACTTTGCTCACACTAATACGGTATCTTTGACAGTGCAATCCTCACTCATTCAATTGCACTGATACCGTAAAAAGGGGCTTATGCAAGCAAATGTCATGTACAACCTGCGATGCAATCTCATATCCAATACGACGCAAGCACTTCATTGTAGGTAGGCCTATATCCGTGAGATATAGGTGTTTGAAGATACAATAGCGTCACCACAAGCCGCATGCTTGTTTTAACCATTATTTCCTGAGTTCAACTAAATGCCTAAGATGTTAGCCCCACTATACCACTACCAACACAGTTCAACATATAAGAACCTAAACGAACGAATGAAGTATGGCGCCCACTAATCAGATTCGTCCACGAGTTAAGTATGGCACACATCAGCTCTGCCAACTAGCTTAGCCAAATGATGGGAACAAAACACTCCACACTTTCCGTAACACCCCGCCAGGTTGGTTACTGCGAGGCACGACTCCTGTACTGCTGTCATCACTTCCAGAACTGCTGCTTCCTGTGTTTTCATCATTGCCTTCATCCCCCAGAGGATCCGAAGGGGATAGATCGTAAGGATTATCTGGGGTAAATTCCCCTTGGTCGTCGTCTTCGGGGCTTCCCTCCCCCAGCAGAACCTGGGGTGCAGTGTTGCATGAGAAGTCCACCTGAGAAACTCCTCTGTGTCACCAGAGGGCAAGTTTGAGGAGTCGGAATGAGGTGGGGGAAACATGAGATGGGGAGCACGAAGTTGGGGGAAAAGACGAGGTGAGGGGTGGGGGGGAGTGTTGCATGAGAAGTCCACCTGAGATACTCCTCTGTGTCACCAGAGGACAAGTTTGAGTAGGGATGAGGTGGGCAAATATTGAGGTGGGGGGAATATGAGGTGGGGGAAAGATTTAGGAAGGGGGAATATGAGGTGGGGAGCACGAGGTTGGGGAAAAGTGGTGGGAGAATGAGCTGGGGGAAGAGACAAGGTGCGACGAAAGATGAGCAGTGTTGCATGAGAAGTCCACCTGCGATACTCGTCTGGGACTCCTCTTGTACACCAGAGGGCAAGTTTGAGTAGGGATGAGGTGAGGGGAAGATTTAGGAGGGGGAATATGAGGTGGGGAGCACGAGGTTGGGGGATTGTGGTGGGATTGAGGTGCGGAGAGAGACGAGGTGCGGGGTGGGCGGGAAAGTGGGGTACTGGGGAAATTTAGGCAGCTTTGTTGTCCGGGGGGTACGCAGTAGGGGCTGTGGCAGGGCGAAGGGTGAGGGATAGCAAGGTAAAGAGAGGAGGTTTAATAGAGACTGGAGACCAAGAATGGGAGCAAGAGACCAGAACAAGAATGAGGGGCGGGCAGTGGTAGTGAGAGGTTTACCTATGGTTGCTGTGGTAACCAAGGGTCTGGAACATGTCCCCAGAGTAGGCCCAGATGAGGAAGTTAGGTCCGGAAAGTTGGATCGGCACCGAGCCTCCATCCCCTGGCGACCGGGAGAACCTGGGACAGGGAAGGGGGATGCGTGCGGGTGTGGATGTGCAAAACAAGTACATGCATGTAAGAGGACTCACAAGAGAGAACGTGCATGTAAGTTCCCCCAAGTACATGCATTACATGCCTCAAATCGCCTCTATAGCACAAGAGGCCTCGCAAGCATCAAATGTGTGGTTAGAGGGCACATGGAACCACACGACTCGCATACCAAGCGCTCCAAGCCATTACTAAGCCCCCTAGTCCCATAACCCGAGCCTCTCTTATTTCCCCGTTTTCCGCCCGTTCCTTCTCCGTTCCCCCCCTCCCACATCCGTCTAGAGACCTCTGGGGGAAAAGGCCGCCCTTTCACTCCTTCCCCCGTAGTCACAGTTAGCACAGGAGGTTAGTCGGGTGCAGGTTGGTAGGTTAGTCGATACGCGCGAGGGTAGGCGCTTGTCGTCTGTAGCAACGTGTCTTCTTCTGTTCACCAACAGTCCACCAACATCCTCAAAAGTCAAAGGGGCGCCTTATAACGGAGTTAGACTCGTTAACCCCACCAGCCGCGAGTTAGTGACACACAAGATGTGTAATGCAGGCGTTTGTTAGTTCACGGCTGCAGTTCTAGAAGCAATGAACTCTTATTGTTAATTTTTACACGGTGTATGCCAGTTATTGAAGAAAAACGATGGTGTAGCAAACGTAACGTAAGTATAAGTAACACACCAGAACACTGTAGACCCCGAAGCCGTCGAAGTCGATCCCTTATCCCCAAGGTCTATATGATTCGTCGCGTTTACAGAATCCGCAGTGTAACCTCCCAGCGAGAACGAGCGGATCGCACCGCCCTCGAGATTGCCGATGACGGCGTCGGACGGCGACATCGCGCCCGTGAGCGACCAGCCGACGCCCATCCAGCCGTTGTCGATCTTGCTGCTCAGCCGCGCCTCCACGGCTATGTCCAAAGCCGATGCGCGCAGCCGCCAGTGGAGGACGAACCTGGGGATGGGGGAGCAGGAGAAGGAAACGAGGAAACGGGAGAAAAGAACGGAAGGAAAGTGGGGAAACGGGAGTAGGAAACGGGGAAGAAAGAGCATGAAATGGTGAGGCAGTTGTCAGATTAGCTGCTCAGTCGCGCCTCCACCATATATGTCCAGCGCCGACGCGCGCAGCCGCCAGCGGAGCACGAAGGGGGAACCTGGCGAGGGGGGAGAAGGAGAAGGAAGCAAGGAAGCGGGAGGATGAGGGCGAAATCAGTGAGGTGTGGTGTGGTGAGCGGAGCTCGGGAAGGGGCTCTCAGAGGAATCACATTTGAGAATTCTCGAAAGGAAGGCACGAGAACGAGAAGGAGAACGAGAACAGGAGTAATCATCACTGTTATGCGGAGAGGAGAGGAACTTACTGGTCGGGAATGAGGGGAGCCGAGAAGGTGTATCCGTCCAGGTCGGACGCGGGGCAGGCGGTACCCGGCGTCACTGCAGCGGGGGGTGTCCCCTTGGGCGAATGAAGGGCGGAAGGGCTCGGATCCGGAATGCCGGGTTTTTCCGGAGCAACGGGAGAGGAGGTTTTGGGGTAAGAAGGGCTGGGGGAGCCAGTCGGCGCAGAGGAGCTGCCGCTCGGAGCGGAAGGAACGGTCGCGGGCTTGGGAACCGGCGGAACGGTGGGTTGCGGGGAAGCGGGAAGGTCGGGGAGGGTGTCTGGTTTGAACTGCGGGGCGGAGGAGGAGGCTTTGAAGGGGAAGGCGAGATCGATCGACGCCGCGCCTCCCGCTGGCGGAGTGGGGGCAGCGAGCGTGGGGGCTATTGCGAGCGCTTGCAGTAACAGGGTTACGAGAGTCGGCGAGACCGCGTGGCGGGGTTTTTTCCGCGCCATAGTAAGAAATATGAACCCAGTTTCTCTCATGCGCATCGGTTTCGCTTCGAAGGCAGATGGCGCGGCGCGTAAGATTGCCGACCTTTGTGAGGAGTGCGGACCGCCTAGAGAATGGCGGCGGCGGGGGGAATCCTACAAATCGCGGATGAGCTCCAAACTAATGGAGGCATAAGAGTAGGCGTTATTCGCTCCGCGCTACGAAGGACATGAGGCTTTCCTGGGCCTTCTAAAGAGGCTGAGCGGCAAGATTAGTTCGCCAATCGGTTCTCGAGTGGGGTCTCAATCTGGTTATTCGTTAGTCCTGTATAACCGCCCTGACCGGAGCTCCTCTGACTGACTCCGATTGGCTGAATCTCTAGATCCTCAAGCAATGCGACAACACAAAACACGTCGCTAGCCTTCCCTTGGTCTCGATGCATTGCCCGTCGCTTGTTGTATTGGTGATGGGTTTGATCGGATGATCATCGGGTGAATTCTGATGAACTCAAGGAAGGAGGTGCTTTGGTCGGGGTAGGGTGGAAAGCTAGCAAACACCCTAGTTGAAGGGGATGCCGCAACATACGAGTTTGGATGGCATGGGGAGGGGAGGGAAGGGGAGGGGGTTGTGGTGTGTGGGGGGGGGAAACGATTGGAAATGTGGGGGTGGCGCTGATGCGCGCAGAATGACGTGCAGTTTGCGACAACAGATGTGAAGAGATCGGCATGTCGGATCGCGAATCCGCATCGCACCGCAGTTACCACGTCAGATTTGTGGGGCTGATTGCTGGCCCCCAAGTGACACGCTGGAGGCATTCGCGACAATCGTGGGAGCAAAACCCACGAACGAAGCCAAACAAGAGAGCTGGTGTAGCGCCTTTGCCGCTGTGTCGTTTCTCGAGACTTCAACAACTCGCGTTCGCGTGCGTCTTGTGCTTCGGTATACGTTACTATCCTTGCACGGTGACACAAACTGTACTTGTGTTTTAGAATGTCTACATGATAATTCGAGCTAGATATGAGCTTTAAGTGTGAAAATTTATCCATGCAGAAGGATCACAAAATCTTTGTTTCAAAGGGGAGACACCGTGTATGATATCCCAAGAGAACGTAGATGGGCAAGGGAATTAACTCACAAATGATGTTTCTGTAATTCTAGCACAATTCATACCGCCAGTTTTCCTTCTTACAAAGCATCTTTTGACGGGAAAATATGCCATTCGTAACCTTCATGGGACTCGATAACACAGTTGGTAAAAAAATAAAGGGTACGGTCACTGCAAAGGGTGTTTTCACGCGACTGATAAAGAGTTTCACGGAATCAGTCACAATCAACTGGTGAAAAAAAACGCGAATGGTCACAGATGAAATTCCCGCCAAAACAAAATGAAACCCAAAAAGAATCTGGGTGCATTTTCGGATTAATCAACCCTAACACGTAACTAGCCAGGTGTTTAGGGTTGATCCGTTCCCGAACCGCATCCGATTCCGATTGGGTTTTAGTTTTTTTTACAAGTTCGCAGATTGGTTGGGGGCGAGCGGGAATTTTGTTGAGTTTCAAGTTTTTTTGGCGGGAGTTACATGTGTGACCATTCGCGTGATTTTTTACCTGTTGTTAATGACTGAATCCGTGACCCCACTTACCAAACCCGTCAGGAAACCCGATACAGTGACCGCACGCGTTTTTTTTGTACCATTTACGTTATCAAGTCCCAAGTTCGTTACTTGTGACATATTTTCCCTCTTTTGACAGCCCAGTACTCATAAATATACACCACAAAGAGATAGTTGTGTAAAACTTTGTGCTTGTACAAGATAACAAGCTTTCAAAACTAGTGGGTGCCGACGTGGCATGGATCAACGACGCGCTTTTCACGCTGTCGCCCTTGTTTGTCGCTTTTGCGTGTCAGCGCCAAACAGGAAAAGACACGATTGCAAACACCACCAGGTACATTCAACATCAGCAAGGTGACTGGCGAGACTCCTCCTCCACCAGCATCGTGCGACAATTTCGCCCAACAGCTTTCAATGTACACGTCACCCGGCCCCTTTTTTCGAACATTTCCGTTTCCGCATTTTGATCAAGGCGCGGTCCGCGCGCGCACCGTGCAAATCCAATTTCCCGCACATCTCCGAATTGATCGTTGAGCGAAACATTCACAAGCCGCACATTCCTGGAATTGCTAACGCACCGAATTTGAGCGCCTCCCGACATCCACGAAATATAATCCATCCGCGACACAACTCCCTTTCAAGCTGCCGAATTCTGCGGAAGGAGCACCTCTCACTTTTCTGCTTCCCATCGAGTCTGAATCACACTCTCATTGTGAACTCGCTTTTCTCTCTCAGCTTGCTAGTTGTACTTCACGTTCTTACCATAGTTCACTTGATCTGTGCCTGGTAGTCGCCCATATTGGCCTGCATTCGACTTCAGAAAACTTCCTTTGATTGTAGAACGTCACGATGGCTGCCGTCACGACGGCATTTCACAGGCTTCCACGCAGAAAGCGAACGTTCGCAAGAGTGACAACCTGCGCACTTCTTCTTCTCGTCGTCTCCTCCCTCAGCGCTCATGCCGCTGACATGAAAACCCGCGGCGGCACCCAACCAGCACCCAGCACGCAACCAGCCCCCAGCACGCAACCAGCGCCCGGATACACCAAGCCACCCACCTTGCCGCCGTCCGCGCCGACCAGTTATAGCAACTCGGCCAGCGGTTCCCCATTCGACCAGGACCCTTTCGGCGGCTCGATGCCCACGGTGACTCCCGTTGACTCGGACGACCCGCTGAGCGGCGAGGAAGATCCGGCCGGCCAGAATCCGCCTACGCCCTCCGCCAACCCCCCGCCCAACCCGCCGAAGGAATCGCCCCCGCCTACCAAACCCGCGCCGTCTCAACCAAAGCCTTCCCCAGTTCCTGCGGCACCGGTCAACAAGCCCACGTCAAACCCGTCAACGCCGTCAACGCCGTCGACAGTCGTCTCGCAAGGAACGAATTCGGCGGGGCAGTCGTTTGGCGGATCGGCGGGGAAGAGTCCCGTGAACCAAGTGGGGAAGACTCAAACAGGGTCGGTAAACCCAAAGTCCAGCCCCAAACCCAGCCCGAAGCCCAAGCCTAAGCCCTCGAATGGAAAGGTTAAAGCGAGCCAGGCAGACGATGACGACAACGACGTGATAATCGGGCCCGCTACCTGCCTCCAGTCTACTCTGTCGGGCTTCACGAATTCCGTCAATCTGACGCGGCTCGGCGGGTTGAGCCTGCACTGGAAGGTTACGAGCCAATCGTCTGTCGACTTTGCTCTGGAGGCGAAGGCGACGAGCAAGGGGAAGAACGGATGGGGCGCCGTGGGATGGTCCGCGCGCAAGAGCAAGTTTCCCTCGGACTTGATCATTGGGAATCTGCCGAGCCAATCAGTTGGAGCTTATGATATCTACGGTTACGGCGCGGGCTCGACTCTGAAGTCGAAGTCGGTTCACCTGAGCGACACGAGCATCGAAAAGCCTGCAGCCGGCGGCTTCATCGCAAGGTGAGATTGGGCGAATGTGGTAGCATCAAAGTATGGAGTTCGCGAACAAATAATCTGTACACCAACTAGCACTTTGTTTGCAACTCGTCTTCTCGGTTTCTAGACGTGCCAGTAAGTAACTACCGCCATCGTTTTCGTTATTTAATTATGCCAAATGAACCCCGGCTATGACAATCCTGTTTCAAATTCCCGCCACTCATTCATGTCCTTCCACCCCGTCCTGCCACGTCAGATTCACTCGCTCCACGGACGACGGAACAGTGCCCGTTGTGATCGGCCCGAACCGCCTCATCTGGGCGTGGTCGGTCGAAAACACCGAGGATGTCGCGCTCCGGAAGAGCCGCCGCGGCGAGCTCGTTGTTGATCTCACCTGCGCCGCGGGAGCTCAGCCCGTGACGACCCAGAGCAACCCGAAAAGCCCCAAGACCCCCTCGCCGCCCAAAACCAGCCCTCCTGTCGTCAAGCCCCCGAAGTCTCCGTCTGTCCCCGAGAAGTATCCGTCAATTCCCGCCAAGTCTCCGTCTGTTCCCGCTAAATCCCCCGCAACGCCTTCGCCGAAACCTCCGACCACGCCCGCGCCCAAGCCCGGTGTGACGCCCGCCAAGAACACGAGCAGCAGCGGCGGCGGCGGAAGCGGCGGAAGCGCGGGGCTGAAGACGGGGAACTCGTGCGACGCGTCGCCCCTTCTGGGATTCTCCTTCTCGACGCCGCTGGTGCTGAACAAGTGAGCTCAGTCAACTTTTGCCACGTCACCATCGTTATGCCACGTCACTCCTGTTGTGTCACGTCACCCCCGTTTTACAGCCGTCTTTCTCGTCGTTTCCGCCCTCCCTTCCCCCTCTCCCCTCACTCGGGCTCACCCTTCACTGGAACATCATCGGAACCGACACTCTCAAGGTGGCCGTGGAGGTCAAGCGAGTCAACGCAGTCAACCCTTCCCATTTTCCCCCACCCAACCAGGCTCTACCTGTACTAGAAGATTATTGGCACCGACACTCTCAAGGTCGCCGTGGAGGCCAAGCTAGTCAACGCAGTCAACCCTTTCTTCGTCGTCATTCCCCTCCCGCTCTCCCCACCCACCCAGGCTCTATCTCCACTGGAAGATCATCGGATCCGACACTCTCAAGGTCGCCGTGGAGGTCAACCTAGTCAACGCAGTCAACCCTCTCCCCTTCCCCCCACCCACCCAGGCTCTACCTCCACTGGAAGATCATCGGAACGGACACTCTCAAGGTTGCCGTGGAGGCCAAGTCCGGAACCAACGTGGACAACGGGTGGTACGGGATTGGCTGGTCGCGCGAAGGCGCCATGGCTCCCGCGGATGCGGTTCTGGGGAACCTGGCGGGCGGGCAGGTGAAGGCATATATGCTGGGTGGGTATACCAAGACGGGCGTGCAGCTGTCGAATCGGCTCACGCTCAGTAACGACAGAGGGACGACTACGACTGGCACGGGCAACACCATGTTCTGGTGAGAAAAAACCTGGCTCCCTTCCTGCCTCGAGCACTCCCTCGCGTCTTCCCTCCTTCATTTCCTTTTCCCTTATCCCTCTATATTCTCGGCCCCTTCTCCTTCCCCAGGTTCTATCGGAAAGTCGCGGACGGCCAAATCGACCCCAGCCCTCTTCTCATGCATCTCTCCTCCCTTCCCCCTCTCCTCCCCGTCTCTCCCCATGGCTCTCCCCCAGGTTCTACCGGAAGGTTGCTGACGGCGGGCTGGCGCCGATAATGGACCTGAAGACGCCAGCCTACATCATCTGGGCGTACGCTCAGGACATGTTCCAGACGGTGGGGTATCACGGGAACAAACCTCGCCCAGCCCTTCTCACACCTCCCTCTCTCTTCCCCCTGTCGTCCCATTACTCTCCCTCTCCCCAGGTTCTATCGGAAAGTCGCGGATGGAGGGCTGGCGCCGATAATGGACCTGAAGACGCCAGCCTACATCATCTGGGCGTACGCTCAAGACATGTTTCAGACGGTGGGGTACCATGGGACCAACCGCGGTATTCTCCAGATTGACTTCTCGTGCAACCAGTCGCCCAAGATTATCATGGGGGCCAGCAGCAATAAAATCAATAAAAAGGGCGACGACGACGAGGATAATCCCAAAGGGAAGTGATTGCGTGGGGTGCTGCTGATAAACGATGACAGGGAGCGGAGACCTTCAACTGATGGATGGTAGTTTGTAGGCCTCTTTAGTGATAGGAATCCGATACGAGTGTTCCCTGGTGTTTGTCTCCCGGCTTCCCACATTTTCAAGCCCGCCCTCCCACATCCTCTTCTGCGGGCTTCGGCAGTCTTCGGCGCTACAAAAGGATTCAGAGTACTTTCTGGCTCTCTATACGCATGGCAGCAGCCCAAGTGCCACCTTTTTGGCTCTCTCCCTTGAAGGACTGCTCGGGCAATACAGCACTTCAGCTGCTCTGTGCTGCAGATATTGTGCTGCAGTCACATTCCGGGTTACTCCCTCCTCTACTGTGCTTGATGGGTAGCGTGAGACCGGGTTCTATTCTAACCCGGTTCTGTTCTAACCCGAGCTTTTTATGGGCACACCCATGGCAGCTGTGCATGAGGTTTAGCTGCAGTACGAAGTAGGCTTGTTAGACTTACATTACAGTATTGTTAATTCTTTTAATAAATACAGCCTCGTATTATATTACTTGATCTCGATAATCAGTCATGACGCACGCAGGTTTGCAGGCTTTTATGGTTGATTGGAGGAAAGAGCAAAGATTGTCCTCCACACCGCACGAGAGGCTATGCACAGCAACCATGCCATTTGGAAAGGAATGAGCTGAAGCATCTCACTCAATGGTCTTTACTGCACCAGTGCACTCTAATCAGCGGTTGTTCGCAAAGCTAACGGGTTGACAGCACCTGCGTTAGGCCTACAGCTGTGGCAAGGTTCAGGGCGTATTCCTGGCCTTGTGTCATCCCGGCTTCATGTCATCCGAAATTTGCGGTATCCAATCGAAATTTTCAAATTTCGAACCGCGTATTTTCCGATTGGCTACCTTAATTGTCGGATGACACAAACACCGGATGACCCGAAGCTAGGAATACGCCCTTAGTCGGGGAGCAGGGTCGTTGCTAGCAGATTTTTTTTGTCTGTTTGCCTTATCTTCAGATCGGGTTTTTTGAGTTCATATGATTTTTCAGAAATTGGTTTTTTTGTAATTTCTGATTGATCAGGAGTAGTTTTTGAGTTTATCTGATCAATCAGGTTCTTGTTTTTGTTTCATCTGATACCGAATCCAATTATGTAGGGGTGAATATGGGATTCGAGTTGTGAATGGGCGAATCTGACGCGTCAGGAGGCGAATCTGTTAGTGTCTGGGCGAATCTGCTAGCGTCAGGGGGCGAATCTGTGAGTGTCAGGGGGCGTATCTGCTGTGTCAGGGGCGAAATTGTTGTGACGGGGCGAATCTGCTGTGTCAGGGTGACGGCGAATCTGCCGTGACGGGCCGAATTTGCTGTGAGAGGGTGATTTTGTTGTGACAGGTGAAGTCCGAATCAATTGCTCTCAGACATGAAATTCGAAAGTATCTGATACATCAGACACGGTAAAAAACAGAATCTGATGGATCAGACAGGCCCGAAGGGCCCGTCTGATCCATCAGGCGCCCTCAAATCCTAGCGACGACCCTGTCGGGGAGTCACAGCATGGCAGTTCCATGCATTGTTTGAGTTCGGGTCACGCAGCATACTACGTGCCTGCTAAGGGTACAGTAGTGGCGAGATACAGTGGTGAAAAATATCATTGCAGGGTGAAACACAGATGTTTATAACTTAATCGAGTAGGTTGGCCTGAAAATTATGTAAATCGTTATATAAGAATGTTTTCCATGCAAGCTTGGATGTGGAGAAAACAAGACTTTTATGGCTGTTGTATACCGGGGCAGTGGATGATGAAAAATCTGGACTTGGCATACCATATCGGAGAGCATTATCGGATACCAGCCAGCGAAATCGCCGCTTAGGACGCTCTGCAGCGCGCCAGCCAGCGAAATCGCCGCCTAGGACGCTCTGCAGCGCGCCAGCCAGCGAAATCGCCGCTTAGGTCGCTCTGCAGCGCGCCAGCCAGCGAAATCGCCGCTTAGGTCGCTCTGCAGCGCGCCAGCCAGCGAAATCGCCGCTTAGGTCGCTCTGCAGCGCGCCAGCCAGCGAAATCGCCGCTTAGGACGCTCTGCAGCGCGCCAGCCAGCGAAATCGCCGCCTAGGACGCTCTGCAGCGCGCCAGCCAGCGAAATCGCCGCTTAGGTCGCTCTGCAGCGCGCCAGCCAGCGAAATCGCCGCTTAGGTCGCTCTGCAGCGCGCCAGCCAGCGAAATCGCCGCTTAGGACGCTCTGCAGCGCGCCAGCCAGCGAAATCGCCGCTTAGGTCGCTCTGCAGCGCGCCAGCCAGCGAAATCGCCGCTTAGGTCGCTCTGCAGCGCGCCAGCCAGCGAAATCGCCGCTTAGGACGCTCTGCAGCGCGCCAGCCAGCGAAATCGCCGTTTAGGACGAGCCTCAGATCCGGCGCTGCAAATCAGCGCCCCCACATTGAGACCGGCTGCCCAGGTGCGGGATCCACGCCCCGACATCGAGACACGTGACGTCACAGCGGAACCATGGAAGACAGCCCGGACCCCGGGGATGCCGGGGTCCGGGAGGGAGGAGGACGTGACGGCAAGGCGAAATGGGCCACCGGAAGCACGGAGGAAGGAATGACAACGATGACTTCAAAGGCGACCTGCCCAATAGCCGGGCACAAGAGGGGGAGAGAGCCTACGGAGCAGCAGGAGGGACCACTCGTCCGCGGCATGTGCGACAAAGTCACTAGGTGCCTCCACGACAATCTGACCAAGAGGCAACGCCTCGATACCGACCTAGGCGTGGCCACTAGAGAAGTGGTCGAAAGTGGCAATGGAGAGCACAGGCAAGGCAACACCTCCGACGCGGCGATGGCAGCTTGGGAGGCACATCGCCAGCGTCTACAGGAGTCGCATGACAAGCGTCGGCGAGAACTTAACACCCCTTTAGCACGCCCGGCACTCACTAAATGCGACAACTCAGCGACATGTGGTCCCCGATTAGCCCGAAGACAGGAACGGAGGCGCAAATCAGGAGTTCCGCGGGGTCAAGGGGAAGGAGCGCGGCGAGGCCCGCAAGCCCGGGGGCAGCAGGAGCCGCAGGCTGGGGGGGAGCAGGAGCCGCAGGTTGGGGGGGAGCAGGACCCGCAGACTGGGGGGGAGCAGGACCCGCAGACTGGGGGGGAGCGGGACCTGCAGGCTGAGGGGGAGCAGACGTTGGAGTTGGAGATGGAGATGGGGAGGCAATGGGAGCTGCCTATTGGAAGGCAGCAAAAGCTGCAGGATGGGGGGCAGCAGGAGCTGCAGGCTGGGAGGCAGCAGGAGCTGGAGGCTGGGGTTGAATGGGACCCGCAGGTTGGGAAGGAGCAGGAGCCGCAGACAAAGGGGCAGCAGGCTTTGGAGGCGGAGATGGAGATGGGGGGGCAGCAGCAGCTGCCGGCTGGAAGGCAGCAAGAGCTGCAGGCTGGAGGGCAGCAAGAGGGGCCGACCTGGAGGCGGCAGGAGCTGCGGGCTGGGAGGCAGCAAGAGGGGCCGGCTGGGGGGCAGCAGGAGTCGCAGGCTGGGTGGGATCAGGACCGGCAGGTCGAGGGGCAGCAGGCTTCGGAGGCGGTGATGGTGATGGAGATGGGGGGGCAACAGGAGCTGCCGGCTGGAAGGCAGCAAGAGCTGCAGGCTGGAGGGCAGCAGGAGCCGCAGGCAACGAGGCAGCAAGAGCTGCCGGCAGAGGGGAAGGAAGACCCGCAGGCTGGGGGGGAGCAGGAGTCGGAAGTGGACATGGAGATAGAGATAGGAATGGTAACGGAGCAGCAGGTCGAGAGACAGCTTGGGCTGCAAGCTGAGTGGCCGCAGGTGTTGGAGGTGGAGATGGAGGAGGCACAGGAGGAGGGGGGGGGAGAGCGGCAGGGAAGCGTACAGGAGGGGTGTCAAACGGAGAATCAGTCTCAGCCGCAAGAAGGGGAGCAGCAAGGGTGTCGAGAAAGGAACCGGCCCCAAGAGCGTAGAAGCATGCAACTTGAAGAGCCGATCAGTGGGTTGCAAGAGCAACAGGCGCGGGTTCAGCAGGGGGTCGCTAGCCCGGGCGGCGCAGGCCAAGCGAAAAGGTCGCGAGCTCGGGGCCGAAGAGGGAGACGACACGCAGCCAAGTTGCAAGGAGCATCCCAGGGCGAGCAGCAGCCAGGGGGTCAGCAGGGGTCGACAAGGGCGCCTCAGGGGGTGCTGCAGGCCGGGGAGGTGCCGGAGGCGACAGAGGCAACCCAGGGAGGGTGGCAGACCGGTGGTCGGGCGGAGAGGACTAGGGCACCCCGGGGAGTGCAGCAGCCAGGGGGGCAGCCGGGGGTGACAGGGGGACCCCATAGAGCGCCCGGAGCACCCCAGGGAGCGCAGCAGGCAGGAGGGGAGCCGAGGGTGCCCGGGGCACCCCAGGGAGTGCAGCAGGCAGGAGGGGAGCCGAGGGTGCCCGGGGCACCCCAGGGAGTGCAGCAGGCAGGAGGGGAGCCGAGGGTGCCCGGGGCACCCCAGGGAGTGCAGCAGGCAGGAGGGGAGCCGAGGGTGCCCGGGGCACCCCAGGGAGTGCAGCAGGCAGGAGGGGAGCCGAGGGTGCCCGGGGCACCCCAGGGAGTGCAGCAGGCAGGAGGGGAGCCGAGGGTGCCCGGGGCACCCCAGGGAGTGCAGCAGGCAGGAGGGGAGCCGAGGGTGCCCGGGGCACCCCAGGGAGTGCAGCAGGCAGGAGGGGAGCCGAGGGTGCCCGGGGCACCCCAGGGAGTGCAGCAGGCAGGAGGGGAGCCGAGGGTGCCCGGGGCACCCCAGGGAGTGCAGCAGGCAGGAGGGGAGCCGAGGGTGCCCGGGGCACCCCAGGGAGTGCAGCAGGCAGGAGGGGAGCCGAGGGTGCCCGGGGCACCCCAGGGAGTGCAGCAGGCAGGAGGGGAGCCGAGGGTGCCCGGGGCACCCCAGGGAGTGCAGCAGGCAGGAGGGGAGCCGAGGGTGCCCGGGGCACCCCAGGGAGTGCAGCAGGCAGGAGGGGAGCCGAGGGTGCCCGGGGCACCCCAGGG